AAAGTGTCCGAGTCTTACAGAAGATAATGTGGTTGCTTAGAAGATTTTCGAGTTTTAGCATTTTTGGTTTTATTGGCAAATTTTAAGGGGAGTTTTCAACATTTTACAGTGTGTCCCCCCATCTAAGTTCGAAGGCCTGACTTTGGGGGGACTGTCCACCCCCCGTAAGTTCGGTTCGTGAGGGGGGGTGGACAGGGGACCGAACCTAAGGTCGAAAAAGTACAGTATTCTGAGGGAATACCATAATGTGACCTTTCATCCCACGCTGAGAACCTAAGACGGAACCGGTCTCTTGCGGATCCGATAACTGAACAATACACGTCTTGGGGCGGCAGAGGGCGATCATTGCTTCCTCAACAACAGTAAGATCATGTAGCTCAGCGGGCACTGGACCTAGATAATTGTTGTTGGCTAATGCAAGGCGCGGGAGCTTGCTTTTAGATAGATCGCGTTTACAGACCGAGCACATAGACAGCACGACTTCACCATTTGCATCGACTCTAACACCGAGGGGGTCCAAAAGAAGATCGTGCGCAGCACCAGGCAGCACAGGTACGGGAGGGCGGACAACGTCTCTGTGAGATGGGAACATATTTTGGCGTACACGCAATAAATGGGAAGGGAGCTGGCTCAGTTTCACGTCAGAAAGCATATCTGTGCGTAAGCGTTCGGCGCAAACGGAGCACACATCACTGCGAAGCGCTTCAGGTGCTATTTCGGCCAAGAAATTCCGTCTGACACGGTTCTTTGTTTCATCGGTGGGGATTTCCGGCCAGCTCTCCCGAATTCGCAACAGGTCATCGTCAGTATTATCACGCGTTGTGGGTCGGATTCGCGATTTGAGTGTATCTACAAAGCTCTTCAACCGGGATCGTAACACAGTGAGAGTATCATCATGCAAAACCGAAATATTCAAAAAAGCCAATATCCTCAACAACGGTTTTTCACGTATACGGCGACGAACTGCCTTCAACGCAAAGATTTGAACGTCACTTACTTGATTGGACCTGGCACCCAAGATAGCGACATCCGTACATCCATAGAACCTTTGGTCGCTTGCATTCAACGCACAAGATCCTGATGCAACATGCTGAACAATGGACTGCCTCAAATCCTTGGCGTATAGATGACGAGTCTCGATCCCGTGTGCTGACGCGAGGCTAATCAATGCAGGTAGTGTAATTGTTTCAAAGCCTTCGAACATATCGTATATAGACACGTTACGGCGGGCAAAGCTATCTCGGAACCGCTTCAGCTGAGCACACATTCTTGGTCTGGTCAACTTGCTCGAACCCTGGCAAAGCCCAAGAGACGTGAGACAGGTCGTGAGGTATCCAATAGAAAGCTGAGAATTAAGCAGAACATCGACCAGGAAAGCGTTCATATCAGAGAAAGTGGAGAAAGCTGGCTTGAGAGCGGAACAGGTGGTGGAAGAAGAGCCCATACAACCGGCATTCAGGACATGACTCAACACAGCAAGTCTGGCATCCTCGATGGAACAGCCCACATGATGCACACCATGATGGTCGCATAATAATCGAATGTCATCCTCGTTATCGGAGAACAAGAAGATTGAGCATGAATGGTCATTGAACATTGATGATATAATATCAAAGGGGCATAATCTGGGATCTTCATCGCCATCCATCGATACTGAAGGATGGCGGGACACGGCCTGAAACTGCAATCGAGAGGTGTCACGTTGTATGAGCATACGATAGCAAATCCAATCACGACCCAAAACCACGTCTGTTGGGATATCTTCGCCCAAGGAAAGTGACATGCTCACCGTAGACCCGGAGTACGACACAATGTAGTCAGTTCGAGTCAGAGGCAACAGACCAGCAGCATGTGCAAATTCGCGAGATAGCAAGGTCTTAGTCAGACTTGCATCGAGAGAGCAGCTCGCTCTCTGTCCATTGACGAGTGCCATACAGGTAAGAGTGCGGGAACACGCGAAGATTCGGAATAATGGGCAAGTTGAAGGAGAAACGAGAGACGATCGATGAGAGGACGCCGTCAGGAGCGCGAGGGGGAGCGACAGAGAAGGACTCGAGAGTCCAAACAAGATCTGAGACAAAAGCCAGGCACACGAAGCTCACGGTCACATGACACAATCGATTTTCTAAACTACCCGAGGAAAGTGGACCCTTAGTGACTCCCTCCAACCCTTTTGCCGTAAACGGCAACGGGAATCTACAAGCAGATGGTCGGCTTTTGTGTGTGGTTGTTTGGTTGCCAATCCCCTGTCTGCTCGCCTGTATCCCACGTGGGTCGGATTGAATGCAATTGTGGACAATTGAATGCGTCGGTGGACGTTGGCCCATAGAGTCGTTCAAAACGTGTGGTCCCGTGGACACGAAGTCGTCGACATCGAGTGCATCGCTGGCGCAAATGCGCGTTTTATTGAATTAAATTGTTCCACACCCAATGGGAATTGGCGGTTGAAACCCCTCCGTCGTCGCAGAGTCAAGATTCAGCTTCCTCGGCCTGTGAGTTTGGAATGTATTCAGTCGGAGGATGTTAAAACCAGGTGAGTTTCTGTCGGAAAATAGCAGCATCCCCCATCGGCCACTAGCCAACATGTCTACCGCATTCGTCGTCGGGATGTTCAGCTTGATCAATGGCGTCCGCCGCTCAGAGCAGACGGGGACCTCGCAGACGTTCTACTGTTTTTACGACACTGCATTCCGCTCTGAGATTACGACGTCAACCCCCGCTCAGCTTCGTGTGTATAGCCCTGTAGGTGGACAGGTTGCTCGAGACGACACGCTCGCGTTCGTCGTCGCTAAGGCGTATTTCGATCGCGATGGCCCGGATCCTGTTGGACGCCCAGCCTCAGCAGTTCTTCCCCTTTCCCGGAGATCCGTCGCAGGAGTCGTACTACGACAACGTCCCCGAGTTTGATATGCCGTTGTTGTTTGCGGTCGGGCGCGTCACTCCGGCATCGGCGTCGGATGGACCTGCACCTCCCATACGGCGCTTTGATCTCGCTGTCTCAGAATACGTGCGGAACACGGTCCAGCACTGTACAGCGGAGTAAGTTGTCTCGCACGTCGAAACGCTCGTGCTGAACTCTTTGTAGAATCATGTTTAATAGCTCAGTTAAGCGATGGGCGAACACGCCTATGCCGGCGTCTAACACGAGTGTCGGGGTTTTGGCCGTTAGCTATGGCTTAGCCTCCAACGGCATTCTTCGGTTTGAGATGCTGTCGCTTGCTCTCAACGTGTCACCTGCGGTCTCTGTAGGCGGTGGTTCTACTTCCAGTCGCGCCGCAACCACCGGCACGGGCAGTCGTAAAGATCGCTTCTCTGCTCGAGCGTCGGAAAAGCGCAAGGCAGTTGGCGGGCGAGTACCTGGCTGTCTAACTGGAAGGGGCCGTTTGCTTATTAGTGCTTTGCTTTGTGATCAGATCTGGCAACGGGGATGGAAGTGTGGTCGATAACAATCACCGTCAATCACGGTGAGTATTTTGTTGCCGAAATGCTAGCTTTTATTCTAATTTACTGGCAGAGCCTCGACTTCTACAGCTCCGTCTCGAGTAACTACAAGCTCGTCGGGCACCGGGGAGGGCATGTCGCGTGATGCCAAGCTGCCTCCTGAGGCTTATCACCCCGAGACTCCGGCGTTATATGAAAGTGTTCCGGCTGAGGGATCGAACTCGACCAAAGAGGAGATACTTTCTCAACTTGACGCCAGTCAGATTGAAGCCATGGTTGCGATCTTGCGGAGTGGAAAGGGTGCAGACGGATCCGGCGGTCGTCGTTCGCCGTCGCCCGCTGGGAGAGGCAAGAGACAGAAGAAGAGTAAAAAGTAGCGAGGCTTTGTTTGTATACGTTGAGACGAATAGGTGAAACGTACATGTATGATTAGTGGTTGTGATAAACAATGTATTGCACGGCGAAAATCGTTTCGAGCAAATCATCTATTGCCGGAGCGCCCTGCGCGATGGCGTGTCTTGTAGCCATCTAACGTTGTTTTGTCTATTCGTGCTAACGAAAGCGACGGAAATTTTTGCTACGGAGCGCGGTAGCTATCACTTCCATTAATTAAAGGAAAGCACAGCGTTAAATATGGCCAGCGATTCAATGGGAAGCACTGGGTAAGACTGCGGAGATTGGTCTGATCAGAGAAGATGGCGTGGATGGGAGAATTTTGAGCAAGGTTCAGCGTAACAGGAGCAACCACTGTCGTATCCCACTATGATAGGACAGCGACACTTAAATGAAAGCTAGCCCTAGACCGAATTTATCTATGTCGATGTTCAACGTTCATGGATATGATTAATCAAACGGCGTCCTGCAAATTATTTGAGTTTTCGGGGTATTTTTAGATCTCCGGCTTATGAGCCGGTGCGGATATATCTGGTATTACCCAGTATGTGGCACTCACGCTATTATTCACCTGACGAACCCAGCTGCTGAACTCACGTACCGACAATATTTGAAAGGTCTTTCAGGAAGCGATTAATTCTCTACTCATTCACCAGTACTACTCTTCATGGCTTCCAGCGTCCTCGGGCGATATTTTCGGAGCTCATAGCGCTCATCAATCAAAGATCCGCCCCACCACGGCCAACGATCTATTTTGGGCCTCTTTGAAGCATGAAAGCAGCCAGTAGTATAATGCAAAGTTCATGATCTCGATTCTCCGAGTTGCAAGACCAATCCACGCCTCCGTCCCCCGCACACCAGTCCATAACTTTCAACAACAGTCTGGCTAAGGAAAGTTCGCCCCAATTGCTCTCACGAAACGTCATCATCAGCTTTTGCACGCATGAATACATCTCATCGCAATAGAATCGCAACCTGAGGTGTCACAGGCCCATACCCCTCAATGGTCCACCTGTTCATGAGGCAGCAAGATGTTATTGTCATTCCATCCGAAAAAGAAGGAGATGAGGACGAGGACCTAATTATGATATAAGCGGAGCAAGAGATGGAGTCGCTCAGTGACACACCGCGTCCGTCGCCTTCCATTACTTTCCCTGTCGCATATAATCCAATGGAAAGAAGAAATGGGGGAGAATTGTCAGCTAGTGCTAAGCTATGGAACATGAGGCGGCAGGAGAAGGAAGATTATATCAAAAGTAAGTCCAGACACTGGGCGCACGCTTCCTATAGTTCTGCATTGCTTGCACTGGATTTGGCTCCATGCAGCTTACGGAGATTTATGCACAATTTGCTGTAGCAGAAACCCGTCTTTCTATAATAATGGATTGCGAATTATAGCCCTCGGTTTACTGCAGATGGCACGATGTGAGTGGCTGTAACATTCGCAGTACCAAGCTATGAAGAATGCTTTATGAAGAAAACTACTCGCAATAAGATTTGATGCAGCCTTCTATATAAATAGTTTGAGACGCCATACAGCCCCTCAACTTGACAAATGAACACAAGTAATTCCATTTTTACAATTCAAATTTTTACACCAAAGTACACCTTTTTCGTGAGGATTCTACTACTACAACCCATTCCACACCCAAAGCCCAACAAAAAATCCCTCCCAAATCCCTGTTTCCATATCTCACAACCTCAGACGTACTTGATCGTAACATCATCGCCAACAGTAACCGACGTCAACACCGAGCCGTTCTGCTCAATGTCGATCGCAGTCGCGCCCGACGGCGACACCTGGCCGCTGGAGGTCGTCGCGTACGCGTCCGTGAACGTGACCGTGCCGAAGTTGGCGAACTCGACGAGCGAGCCGTTCTCCTCGAAGTCCTCCACGATCCACTCCGCGTTCTCCTCGCACAGCGCGGACGAGGACGTGATGTCCTGCGTGACCGTCTGCCCCGTCGTCGTGTTCTCGATCACAGCCGTGCCGGACGTGGTCGAGGAGGCGGTGACGGTGAGCTTGACGACGTCGCCGGCGGAGAAGGAGATGCCGGAGAAGTCGTAGGCGTAGTCGGGGTACCATTCGTACCAGGCTGTCAAAGTTGTTATAAGCAAGTAGTTTGAACGAAGTGGGAGAGGTTCCTACCATCGTAAGAGACGTCGCCGTCAGAGACGGTGAAGTCAACACCGGTCTGGAGGATGGCGTTCGAGCAGGTGTCACCGTCAATACCAACCCAGGCGGACGCGGCACCGTCGCCCGAGGGCGTGGGGACGGTGAAAGTACCGGTCACGGCGGTGTAGGTGCCCTAAATAGAGACAACGAGACGTCAGAGACATGGCTTCAGAATATAACACACGCCAAAATACACACATCAGCCGAATCGTAGACGGCGCCAGCCCAGTTCTCGCTGTACTCGGTGTTCAAGATGCGCTCGGCGGGCTTCGACTGACGGCCAGAGGCACGGCGAGCGAGGCGGTCACCCATGCGCGAGGAGGGACGGGCAAGAGCCACAGAGGCGAGGAGAAGGCTGGTGAGGACGGCGAACTTGGACATCTTTAAGTGGGATACGGTAGGAGCTGCTGCTGCTGCGAGTGATAGACCGAAAGAGCCTGATGAAGTCCACCGTCGAATATCGAGGCCTTTTATACCTTTTCGCTAGAGAGTATCTCGCCATGCTCTGCCTGCGGGACTGAGAATTTTCGACAATGCGGGCTGTGACAGCCTGGTTGCGCAATCGAGAAGAAGCATAACCGCCATGAGGGCAATTGGGCGCCATTATCTCTTTCGTTCAGATAATGGAAGGACTTCATGTGTAGTCATGCGAGCCGTCAAGCCCGTGGGTGACACAAAGAGCGACGATCGCAGAAGAGCAGTTCTCGGGACCACAAGGACGCAGTTTTTCGTCTAGTCTGTCGTGGGCTACGAGGCTGCCATCGGCTCCGAAACTGTCCGTGGCATGAAAACCTGCAGAAAGAAGCAGGCAGTTCAGCATAGGCGAATATCGGGTCGTTCCAACCTACTGACATTGGAGTCGTAAGAGCCGCACAGTGAACGATCTCCCTTGGCATGCCCTCCACATACAGCACCAGAAGCTCAATAATAGGTCATCTGATGTGGAAAATGCGATCAGCTCCTCGATCGACCATAGCACACGACTCACTTTGACGAAGTGCGAAAGACCATGTGTAGATAGGGAAGGAAAAGGCGTGGGCCTTCTCCATTTGCTGCCAGAATCATGTTATGTTGTAAACGCTCAGCTCCGGTGCGGGGGCGGACAATGAATGGAAAACCAAACTGTGCCTGAAAGACGCGCATCGTGGTAGGCGACGGGAAAAGACAGCCTACAAAAACCAACAGCCAGCCCATTTACGGACGGGATAGTTGTTATAGCTTGCGGGCATGTATATGTGTCTGGGAACGCTCCAGTCGTTGTGCAAAGATCGTCCAGGCCGCCGGGTCCGCTGGTCGTGCCTTAACGCATGAGCTCTGATATTCTGGGTTGCGGTGTGAGTGAAGGTCCCAGAATAGCCCCATTTTGCCGGGAATGCGGCTGTATCTCTGCGTTCTACTAGAGTCATGAGGCTATGAAAGACGATATACGGAGAGGACCGCTTACCCGGTGCGCTTCATGGTGTCATCGGTAGGAACAGGGACGGCGTACGGTAAGGCAAGCATCCGTAAGCGAGAGCGTATCTGGCCGGAGACCAAGGTCAGGCATCGGGACTTCATGTTTATCTGGAGGCGTCAGTCCAAGCTCTAGGTATCAAGTCCCTGAGGGTCATTGAGACAGCCAGCCCAACTGTGGTAGACGCTGAAGTGAAACTGAAGAGTTTGAGCTAAGCGCTGGCCGGGTTTTCTCGGCATGGGGTCGGCAACGGCGTTACCCGTAGAAGTTCCCACACTGCCAAGACTCCGCCGCTGGCCTCTTGATCCTCCCCCGCTTGCGCCCGCTGCAGACGCTACAGGCCTTCGCTGCTTCAATCAACAGAAGCATAGTGTCACTTCCGATTGACAGTTATATCACTGTTAATGTTCAAGGTAAAGGTTTGCTTCTGTCACTAGACAAGGTATTGACCTACGGAGTCAAATAAATAGGTAGCGCTGCCGACTCCTTCAACATTCTAACCAGTCGGCTTGATGGTTATTTCAGGAACAGCGCTTCCTGCACGACGATGAAAACTCAGCAGCCATCAGTCTAACCTTGCTTTCGCCGAGCAAAGTGCGACCCGATTCTGCGTTTTTGGCTCCCCGCAGCAACACCCCCGCACGGCCGTGTCCGCGTCTAAATGTGCCATAATGAACTATGACGTCCCGAGAGATCGCGGCCCCGCGAGCCTTTCTTGCGGAGACAGGTCCTGTCAATATCAAGTATTCATCGAATTTGCGTACAGTCAACTGTACCCCGAAGAGGCACCAGCCGTCGAATAGGCTTTGTGCGGCTCTAGTGCGACGCGTGATGGCGAACACATGACTCGTTCCTGGTTGTGGCTTCGTTTCAGTCTCAATACGGTCCTCGACCGAGGGTTCTCCTTGTCGCCAAAGGTGAACCGAGAATTAGCCCTTGGTTTTTCCATCTGGAAACCCTCAGAGAGACAAAGAGCATAGTTCTCAGCAGCAGCGAGGGGTATAAAAATGCTACTCGGACGGTCGTTGGCAGTCAGAATCGAATAGTTCTACCTCTCAAGCCACGTCGAAGATGTACAAGCTCTCTGCTGCTGTCGCCGCCCTCGCCACCCTGACACAGGTCTCCTTGGTCGGTGGTGCCTTCCTTGGCGTTTTTAGCGTTAATTAACCTTTCTCTTGGCAGGTGTCCGCGCACGGGGGTGTCCTCAGCTACAACATCGCCGGGACCACCTACAATGGGTAACTTGCCTTGGCGTTTTCTTCGAGTTTATCCGCTGACCAACGCTTTCATGATGATAGATTCGTGGCTTACGACAGCCCGACCGGGCAGTCTACCATTCAGCGCGAATGGGACAGCTACGACCCCATCCAAGATCCCACCGACTCGTACATGTCTTGCAATGAGGACGGCGCCAACCTTGGCTCCGGTCAGGAGTACGCCACTGTGGCAGGTGAGTACCATCGAACAAGTGTTTTTGGTCGGGTTAAACGTGTATGTTTTTATTATTTCAGCCGGATCTCAGATCATAGCCTACTGGAACAAGTACGTGCGATCGCATTCTTGCCACGAATATGTGCTAACAGTTATATCCAGCCCGTGGCCCCACACCATCGGCCCCGTCATGGTCTACATGGCCGACTGCAGCGGCGACTGCACCGACGCCACTACCTCGGACTTGGAATGGGTAATTCCCCACCTTCTCGTTGCCAATCGTCTGCTGACCATGATGTCGCAAAAATCTCATTGCGGTGATCAGCGCTGGCGAGTCTGGTCACTGCGCCCTTTGATGTGACCACCGGTGACCAGCACTCATCAGCAGTGGTGAGACTGACGTCAGCGAGGGTCACCAGTGGAGCACCTGCTGAACTCTTAGTGGGCCTTCGCTGCGCGATGGGGCTCAGGCGTGATCAGTCGCAAATCAGTAGTATCTCAGGGGAGAGCACCTAGCAATCACCCGAACGGCTCCTTGGCAGCTGTCGCAGTACAAAGTGCATGTATCTACATATAGTGCAGCACATATGAACGTGCAGGATGCACGCCTGTCGCACTGTACGTGTCGCATTTATAAGGTCATACACAGATTCTTATATATTTTCGGGTTATGGGCAGAGGTAACATGTGGGTCGTACACACGCGTAAGTCCCTTCAGATCCCAGCTTCAGGTTTTTGCTTAGCCTTTTGCTCGCGGCCAGGCTTGTGGAGAGTACGCCTTATCCAGAGCGTATGTCCATCAGAACCCGACCGCGGGCGGCCAAACGCATCCTGAGCGATTTGGGCCTGGTGAAACCCTACTACGTGTGGGACTTCGCGGAACGGGACACTAACGGCCACCTCCGGAAGCAAGAAAGAGTGACAGCCGCGTTCGCGTTAACGATGCACGTTATATTGCGGAGATTCAAATACTTACATCCTCCGCTACCTTTCGCGAAAGTAAATCAAAACTCTAGAGAAGCTCACTGAAGTATTCATTGATAGGCCACTATTTCTGTCCAAGTAGCTACGTAAGTAATACCGTTATCGTTGGCATCTAACATTCTGCACTAATTAATGTGATCATCTCAATGATCTTTGTGAGACCTGGTGGCCTTCGATGGTGGCTGCTCGCGCGACTCTGATTCGGAATCGTCATCGCGAACGGCACCTTCGCCACGTTTCTTGCCACGCTGGTTTCTGTGTGGAGCCTGGGTGATATAATAGTGGGCAGCAGAAACACTCGTTAAATAAGGGTCAACGTACGTTTCGGTCCTCATCTTGATCCTGCTCTTCGTCATCTGAACCCTTGCCATCCCCACTGCCGTCGTCCTCTGCACCTGATAATTGACCTCGCCGGCTGCTTTGAATGACCGCACGGCGAAGCTTAGCTGGGGCTGATCGATACTCACTATCCCCATCATTGCTGTCAGTCGCCAGCTGGCGACCATTATTGTCGTCACCAACACGGCCCGCATCTCCCACCTGCGCAAGCGCGCGCTCCATACCATCACCAAGCATCACCCCGTGGTCCTTGTTCTGCTCAAGAAGTCGCGCTCCAAGGCCCCGGTCAGCTGTTCCGGGGTAGAAAACCATATCCCATGTCTTGAACACACGAAGAATGGGTTCGCGTTCTTTCTCGAGTCCATCAATGAGTACCCGGAGATATTGATTCTGCCATTCCAGCCAGTCTATCCCAGTCGGACCATCATTGCGGACGAAGTTTGTGTCCTCTGAGAGGGCGAAACATGCCTGTGACATACACTGGTGAGACATTTCTATCATGACTACAGTGCAGGACTCACTAAAGTACAGGCTCCCGCAATAGAACCCGGATAGACATTCTGCAGACTGAGGATCTTTGAGAGGTAAGAGCCCTTTGCACCTGTCGCATGGCCTTTTTCAATATATTGGACAGCCGTCGTTCCTCGGGTGATGGCAGCATAAACCTAAGGTACTGCAGTGAGTTGTTCCACTCAGATCGATGAAAACACTACGCCCGACTGACCTTCATGGGGATTTCTCCTAGAAATGCGGTTTGAAGGTCAAAACCGTAAGGCGCAATAGAGCATTCATGGATAAGGGGGGCATCAAGTGGTGAGTACCTCCCTACTGAGCTATCGTCTCCACGCGTCCAGCCGAGAAGCTTACGCAGATGCTCCTTTCGTAGAGAAGGGTCTTTCAGCCAACGCGTTATTTCTGGACCAAAGATCTCTGCCGCTGCCTCACGACGAACACGCTTGATCATCTGTGAGCGCTGATCACCCATTTGCGACAAGAACTTCGCCCCAGTAAGTTCTCTAATCATATGTACACCAACACAGAGCACTCACAAGCCTGTTGAACAGCGACGTTCGCCGGAAACTGGCATCATACTTCTCTGCGATGCAGGCGACAAGGTCCCGAAGCTGGCCCTGGAGTAGGCCATGGCTGGAACCAAACCTATGAATCGCATCCTGAGGCTCGTTGTCATCAACGGCAGCTCCAGTGTTAAAATCGTCTGAAACCGTCCAAAGGCAGAATTGTATGACGAAGATTTGAGCGGTACGTATACCTGCTTCCTTTATTGACTTCTTTCGCTCATCTCGCTCATCATCGGCATCGGCATCCCTACCCTCAGCATCCTGCTCGCCCTGCACATCTTGGTTGGTCTGCATCTGCTCGTTCTGCTGCAGGAGTCGATCCAGCTTTTCCTGCAGGACACTGTTCTTCGCCTCAAGTTCGTGGCATTTCTGTGTGCAGCTGTGAGTATCAACCGGCGAAGTTCTGGAATATGAACACAAACGCGAGCTAAAGCACCTTGACGTTTAGCTTCTTCCATGATTGTCTCAGGAGGACTAAGAGAACCAGAAGCTGGCGGCGGGTTTACGACGCGTTGTGGGGCCATGTTGAGGTGCTGAAGCCGTGCGACATGTTATTTAGTGCAAATTGCAGTGGTTTGGAGTTTCGGTAAACAATTCTGGAGCTCGGCTAGTGTGAATGATGTCATATGAATACTGCGTAGCCACCGATCTGTGTTCCTGATCAAACCCTGGGTTGTATAACATTGTCGGAAGTAAATTGTATGTAACAAGTCTTGTCCTCGACCAGCACCATGGTACGCACTGCGGTGGCTGGAAAAGTCCCCAAGAAGCTCAAGAAGCAATGTCAATACTGCAAGCGGGAAGTTAAGTCCCAAGGGCATAAAGCTCACGAGGAAAGCTGCAAGGCGGAACAGCTTGGATTGGGACTCGGGATCGGTAAAAAGGCTAATCGTGTTTTTATCGACCGTTCGGATGTGGGTAGCCTACGCAACCATAAAGACAGTGATGACTCAAATCTCTTCTATGATAGGCTGTTGCTCAGCGTGCCGCTCAGAACTTAGTACCATCTTTGTCGCCTGAGCCCATGGAAACCGACATTCCTACTCACCCGGGCGATGTTCCCGAGTCTTCCAACGCCGATCAGGCCGAGACTCGGAGTTTCCCATACATCATACAACGTCCTCACCCTCGTGCTTCAGACCCATGTGTGGACTCCCAGAGCTTTGAGCTAGCCACTGTTGATACCATTGGCCCCCCAACATCAGCGGAGCCATTTGCACCTTTCAAAACTCTAGCCGATTTCGAGTATGCTGAAAGCGTTTACGACTACTTACCTGCAAAGGTGGTTGATAAACAGCTGCACGGAATGCACACCAGCTGGGCCAAGTCCTCTAACATTACATGGCACAATCACCGTGAGATGGAAGGGGATCTAGCTGATGCACGCAAGTTTATTATCCCGGTTTGTATTCCAGTTTTGTTTAACATTCAAGCTAACATCATGTGCTCGTCTATTTACTAGTTTGAACATGCTACAATACAAAGGGAGTTTAAGGGTGTATTGTATACATATCCCATTCGGTATCGTGACCCATGGGCATGGCTCCTCAGCCTTGTTCAGGACCCAACACTTGCACAAGATATCTGCTGGAATTCAGTGCAAAAGACCCTTGTTACCGAAGCAGGAGAAGAGAGGCTTTATGACGAGCCTGAAACAGGTAATGCATGGAAAGACGTTGATGTGAGCAAGTTGTTTTGCGGCTCATCAAACAAGGGACTCATATGGTTTTCAAGGATGTACTGCCGCAACCAGATCCGTATCGGCACTGCTATCTTCCCATGCTTTGGTGGCTTGATAAGGGTCTTGTCACTAAGCATGTAGATATGTATCCGATGCTTGTTCGTCCCCTTTTTCTGCCGTCGTCAATACGCAACAGATCTGGCAATGGAGGTGCCTTTCTTCTTGGATTTATGCCAAAGGTACAATATTCCAACATGCTGGTACCAAAGGCTAACTTGCAGTGATTGTAGATCCCTGATCCACCGTCTTCAGACAAGTGGTCGCAACGTGAGCTGGACGAATGGGGGAGATTCAAGCGTGAGGTCTATCAAGACGTACTTCGGCTCGTTTTTGGGTCCTGTCGTGACCCCTCATTAATTGGACAGGCCGTACGGTGCGGCGATAAACAATTCCGGTGCCTCCATCCCGGAATCATGGTCCAGTCCTTGGATGCAGAGGAAGCGGCACGGTGCAATGCTACACGAGCCGCAAACGCTAATTACCCTTGTCCAAAATGCCTCATACCACAGAAAAGCTTGCAAGAGATTACGTTTTTTGCAGAGCCCCGGACAATATCTCAAACCCGAGAGGTTCTGCACAATGCACGAGCTGCTGCATCGCGCAAAGAATCCGCCACAATCCTTCAAAATTACGGTCTACATGACGTTGATGTATGTTCTAATTTTGCTACCTTGATTATTGGTTAGTTATCTCAGCTGACGACCTGTCAATGTACATCCAGCACTTTATGTGGGAGCTTGCCTACTCCGATCCCTATGCATCATATGCATATGATACACTTCATTCCGATGATGAGGGAAAGTGGGGAAAGCATTTGTATGTTGTGCTTGTTGCTACGCTCAAAGATGCGGACCTCCTCGGAGATTTTGCCTCAAAGTACGTGTTTGTAACTTTGTATAACTTCTCCGCTAAATGTACATCTAGTGTCTCAAGTGTACCCCGTTGGGCAGGGCTTAAGCACCTCCGATATCAGACAATCTTTCTGGAGAAGATTTACGATGGAAACCAATATCGAGATATTCTCAAGGTTCGCTGAGTTCATGGCTCCGATTATTCGTGGTAGTTTTGATCCAAACCTTTTCTTGTAGTGCGTTCTCCCATGCATAGCAAACCTATTGCCATTGCATGCCAACCTTGTGCACTGCATCCGGGCATACCAACGGCTACGAATGGTGCTAGGGCTTCGTTTGCAGTCTAGCAAGCGGGTGAAGTTTATGCGAGACGTTTTGCTCGTAAACTATGAGCTGCAGTGCAAGGCAGGTAAACATGCTATCACTAAACACTCAAATACTAATAATACATCTGATATGACAGCGGCTGTCAGGCGGTGGGAGCACCATACAGAAGAGTTTTGGGTTCTTGAAACAGCACTTGAGTCAGCACTCAGCTGAGGATATCGAACGCTTCGGAGCTACATACGTCTACTCAACTAAACCTAATGAGGCATTTCATCAAGAGGTCGGAGAGATGTACGAGATGACCAATCAACGTGAAGCTGAGATACAGGTGAGTGAACCGATAAACAGCCTTCCCATATAAGCTATTGACTGGTAGTATTCGAGATTGCAAAGCGAGATCAAACACGCGAAGCATTAGCGCACACTCGCATTCTCGTGGATGCTGCTGCAAAAGAGCCGGTTGCTGACTCGGACCCTGATATCACGGATACTGAAGACGCCATGCCACAGTCCGACTCCTCAGAAGACGACATAGAGGAGCTGACCGAAGCAAGACCACAGGAGACCTGGAAGCTTGGTTCGCGAAAAGGCCGTTCGCTGAGTTCTATACGCTATGGGAACATAGCGAATCAGCCAGATTTTCACGCTAATTTGCTTGTATTCTTTCGAGCAGTCTTTCCAGACCGTTTTGTTGTAGACCAGCCATCCTTTCGGGTAAGCACATCACACGTGTCTGCAGCAATTTACAGACTACTGACATGGTCTGCATTATTGCAGATTGAGATATTCCAGTGTATATATCTCCACTATCGGTCCCAAGACGACTTGTCGACGTCACGCGATATCCTTCATTGCAAAGAGATATTTCATGGTCGCCCTCGTTACGACGCTGCTATTTTAAACGACGACACGCCTGGTATTACTGTCGTTCGCCTATTTGCACTGTTTCGCTGCACTGTGTCTCGTACTGATGGTCTTTGGACTGAAGATATTGCTCAAGTGTCGTATTTTCGCCCAGCGAGAGACTACCAGCCCAAGGCAAGCTGGTATGGCTGTCGCATACTTCGCGAGGAAAAGAAGAGGTTTTTTATTCTCACAAAGTACCTTGTGCGTGGCGCGCACATGATCCCTGTGTTCAACGGGCCCAAGTCGGACTCTATCTTTTACTTCAATGATTGTGTTGATTCAGATATGTTTGTGCGTACAACACCCGAGCTCAGTCTTGTTCCTCACTAGGTACTTTGCTTTCATACTAGTATACAAATGTAATCAGCGAGCCTACCTACCTCTGTGCTGTGAGATCACCGAAAAGACGCGTTGTTACCACATAATACTGGGCCGAAGTTCCACTTTGTTACTTTGATTCAACTGTATATAAAGCGTGCATGTTAAGTAGGTATTGAAGGCGTCGTGGTGTAACGGGTAAGTAATGCTAAGACTAATGATTAGGCTCCTGTTCGAACCTTGGTGAGTACGCATAAAGCTAAATTAATACGCCTCCATTCATCGTAGTTCAAGGAGGCCCGACTCCACCACTCCATGATCTCACAATCCCCAAACTCCACTACTCCACACTGACGTGTGCAGCCATTTTTCCCCGGCCCTACTGAGATACTGACCACCGGTGGATACCAGTGGGCACTGCGTCATCTCCGCCTGATTAGCATCTACTCAAGGGGTGGCTCCCTGGTGGCTACTTGCCGACTCGGTCCTGACCGCCGCCTGGTCGCACACTGGTCACCAATGATCACCAGCTGAGCGCCATAGGGACCATCGGCTGACTTTTCCCGAGTGTATCTGATCAGACCCTCAGTGGGTGATCAGACTGACCAGACGTGATTACCGGTGGTTATCCCTGGTCACCCATTTCCGATTTTTGCGACAGACCTACATTACTTTAAAACCTCTCTAGTTCAAAATCGACGAAGCCGGCCTCATCTCGGGCGACCAGCCCACTGGTCTCTGGGCCATGGGAGAGCTCGTGAACGACAACAGCTCCTGGACGACCAACATCCCCTCATCGCTCGCGCCCGGCGAGTACTTCATCCGCCACGAGCTCCTCGCGATACACACCGCCAACACGCCCCAGTTCTACATGGAGTGCGCGCAGCTCAAGGTCACCGGTAGCGGCTCTGCGACGCCCGAGTCGGAGTACCTCGTCAAGTTCCCCGGTGCCTACGCTATGTGAGGATTAGGTTTCTTATTGCAACGCGGATGGGCGCTGACGCGGGAGAATTGCCGATAGGAGCGACCCCGGTGTTGATATCGATGTGTACTCCAACGCTGGTGTTACAAACTACACCATCCCCGGACCCGCTGTCTGGCCCGGCAATTAAGTTGAAATTATAACGCGAACGTAGCGCACTGCTATTTTATTTGGGTTTGTACTTCTTAGTACGACTGCCATGGGATAAAAGGTGGATACAATAGTTGAAGTGTTTTCAAGTATTATGGGTTCGATTGTTCTCTTAAAATTTCAACCAGAGTAATTTGATTCAGTGAGTTTAAGCTTGCTTCAACGACCGAGAAAGAAAAGATATGTACTCGTACATGTTTCTAACTACGCTGTGAGGACCACACAAACTCAACCCCTACACCCACATTCCTTCGACAAAGAACCCGTCGATAAAGTCCTGGTCCTCCCCATAGTCATACCGACACCTCTTGATACCAAACGCCTTGTCACGCTCGCGCTCGTTCTGCTCTTTATCCTCTTGTCCCTGCTTCTTCTTCACCACCTCAATAGTGCCGCTCATGGACTCCAGCACGTCGTGGACATGAACAAGAACCCGCTGCCCCGGCACCGCCGCTCCAGCTTCCTTCAACACTGCCAGCGTAAGCGCACTATTGCGGTCCTGCGACTTCGCCTTGTCTATCTCAGAGCAAGCTGCCGCTTTATCCTCGAGCCGCTTGGCGAGCGCAGCTGCCTCCGTCGCGAGCTGCGCATTCGGGTCTAGATGTTTCCCTTCAGCCAGCCGAGCGAGAGCCCCGCGAACGGTGGCCGCACGCTTCTCCCAGAGATCGCGGGTGAGGTATTCATCACCGAAAGATGGCTCTGTGGTTGACGTCAAGTTCAAACAGCGAACAGAGTTGCGGGATTGGACATCCTCGAGGATTTTCTGCCGTACAGCGAGTTCAAAAGGAGTCTCGCCGAAGGCGGTCTCGTTCCGAAGCTCTTTGGGCGGTAGGGCGCTGACGAGGTGGCAGACGATGTGATGGAGTTTGAGAGAGATCGCAAGGTGCAGCGGAGTGCTACCGTGCAGGTTTCGAGCGGTGAGACTCGGTCCCCCGAGTTTTGTAAGTTGCTCGACAAACTGGAGATTACCCTTGCTGACGGCGACGTGGAGAGGCTGCATAAGTTTGTGGTCAGCTGTATGGACAAACTCAAATGAGAATGATACGCACCGTTTCTTTAGACGATCCAGCTCGTTGAACGAGCAGCTCGTCAAGGTCAGCTCGAGGCAGCTTCTGAATGAAGTGCTCAAAAAGCTCGGTGTTCTGGGTAGAGCACACCATGTGAAGAACATTGGCCCTAAAGTTGTGTAAGCCTCGAACAATGAGAACAAAGATGAGGTACTTGCCTATCGGTTGCTGAGCGCTCCATATACGATGCACCCTTGTTACGAAGAAAGTTAAACAACGCGGGATTGCAGTTGCGCATTACAGCCATCAGTATGCTATTGTATCCGCGTTTTACCAGACTAGGGGAGCGGATTCAGCGACACGAACAAAGGGGTGTTGACGGACACTCACGTTTTATTCACCAGATTTTTCATATAGTCTGGCCTCGCGCGGAACATGGCCTCGAGCACGGGGAGAGCTTTATTAATCTCAATGTTGCAAAGCGCTGCCGTCAAGGAATTCTCGCCGGTCTTGCTCTCTGTCCAGCCCAAATGCGAACGCAGCGTCTCAAGAGACTCGCATGCTGTCCTGAGGAAGGAGATCTTCTTATTGTCGTCCCCTTCGTGAGAGTCAATGTACGCCCGGTAGCTTGTCAGTATGCCCTCGCTCCCGAGGTACTCGACAATGTGAGGGAGAGTCTCCCGAGCCAAAATATAAAGCATCGGACGATGTTCAGATGTGTCTTCGCTCGAGTTTCCTTCGACCTTCTTCGCGAGATCTGTACGCTTCTCCCCATGAACCGTCAAGCCGAGATACGGTCTCCTTCCGTTAGTCGCCTTGGCCTCCTTCCAATCGTCATCGCTCTCTTTAGGAATATCAATGCCGACGCCATATCGCCTGATGACGATGTCGAGAATAGCCGGGTTGTCCACAGAGGCGATAGAGGACATCACTTCGTCTCCGAAATCGCCCTCGCAGCTGTCGTACAAGTCCAGGATCTTCTCCAAACTCTCGCGGTCGTTTTTTTGGGCCGCTTGGCAGACGATGCTCGAGTATGAAAGGCCGCCCTCTTCTTGTGAGTTGCTCGGGATCTTGTACGATAGCGTCAAGAGGTTTTCTGGTGGTGACTTGCACTGCACCTCGGACGGGATGTCCTTGATGTCGATGATGTGTGGTTCTTCGGAGGGCGGTACTTCATCGTCATCAACATCCATCTCGTCTTCCGAGTCGCCCATATCGCTCTCGTCTGCGGAGAATAACCATGAGGGCCTGACGTCGTGACAAGGCTTATTTGTGCTTACCAAGTTGGAGGCTTTCGGCATGCCAATTAACCTTATTGTCGCTGACATCCTCTTTGACGTACTGTTTCCGAGCAATGTCAAGGATGAGTTTTGCTGTCGTCCACTTGCGACCCATCACAGCGGCGAATAGAGGCGTATATCCTACATATGCAAGATTAGATAACGCTGTCGGAGAGAAATGTATTCGTTACCTCCGTATTGACCAGGAAGGGGAAGGGGAATATGGACAGAAATCCGCAGCGCATTCCGGCCCTTTGGGGGTTGTAAGCAGAGCTGAATGACTTTTGCGTCGTCGCCTGTATAACAAGCATCGAAAAGCTGGTCATATAGCTCATACGAGCTCTTCGGAGGTGTACCGTCCGAGTTCCATGAGTAGGTGGGCAAGAACTCATACTTCACGTTTTCTGGTTCTCGGCGATCTCGTCTGCGATCTCGTCGAGATGACGCATCGTCGGCCGCGCCGTCATCAGGATGAAGCTCTTTGCATGTCTTTGCTCCAGCGGAAACAAGTTCCCCGCGGAGCTCGCCGAGGTGGGCGCGGCTGATCTCGCGTATCTGGCGCGTCTTCCGTTCCTGTTCGTCCTTCGCTCGGTCCACTTCAGGGTCAGACGCACTCTTCTTTGCTTGGACAAGCTTGCGTACGAGATGTACGTATTCTTGCTCCCACGCGGATGGTTGGGAGCTGAGAGCAGGTACGGATGACTCGTCATCGGATTTCGACTGTTCATCTAGCTGCTTCGCGATGCGATGGTCGGTGGACATCGTCCAGTCGAGAATCGTGCGATGGGTCGCCCTCCAATCGTTGTCAACGAGTCGAGAGTTGGGATCAGCTCCGAGTTTCACGAGGGATAGCGCCAGGTCCCAATGAACGTTCGCGAGCGATACTCCTAGCACATCGGCCGACTGCATCGGGTCACGGATATACTGTTTCGTTTTCCTGTAGGCGTAGTGAGCGTTGGTCATGGGGTAGAATTGCTACATGAACTCACTTGAGCATTTGTTGTGCGCGAGCAACATCGTTCTCGGATAATTCTAGCTTGGCACCCCACGCAAGGAGTAAGATGACGATGTCATACCGCCCTTCCTGGACGGCACTCGCAAGAGGGCTCATCAAGAGCTCATAATTCACTTTGCTAGGGAATTCGAGGGCCTTCTTCGCGTTGGGATCGTTCTCGAGGAACGTTTGGATAAGCTCGAGTTTGCCTGCCATAACGTGTTCATGCAAGACGGTGAGCATATTGGGCTGATCGTCTATTGCAGTCGACGATGCGCCAGCTTCGAGAAGGGCCTTCGCGATTTTGCATGCAATGGTCGAGTCCTCGACGAATCGTGTGAGCTTGAGAGGGAGCGGAACGCGGTCGCGGACACTATTGCCCTTGATTGCGGTCTTGATGTCTGCACCGGAGCTGATGAGAGCCTTCACCGCATCAGCACTCCCTGACATAACGGCGTAGCCGATTGGCGTGAGCACAGCGTCCCAGTCGGGCGCGTTGATGTCAAGGATGTCGGGGAGAGAAGACTCGTCCTCGGGGATAGCTCCAAGATCGACAGCGTCCGCCATGATGTCGAGGTCGCCATCCTTGGATTTCTTCTCCTTCGTGTCGGAGCCATCATCGTCGACTTCGTCCCAATCCTCATCCTCCTTTTCGCCATCCATATTGTCGTCTTCTTTGCCGTCTTCTTTGCCGTCATGGCTCATGGCTCTGGACTCGTCCTTCGGACCGGCTTGCTTCTCTTCGTCGGCTTTCTTCCGAGCTTCCTCTTCGTTGCCTTTACTACGCTCCAACAGCTTCTCGATGACCTGGACGTGGTTCCCTGCAGCAGCGAGGTGCAGCGCGGACCGCCCGTCAACAATCCTAGCTGAGACGCGAGTGCCGGACTCGATGAGCTGAAGTGCTACGTCCACCGAGCCGGAGAGCACCGCAAGATGGAGTGGAGTACGCCCGGCATGGTCACGACGGTTGGCATCCATGCCGTCGGAGATCATCTGGGCGACGGGAGTAGTATCGTTGTGCGCAACGGCGTGGAAGAATTTGGTCGAGTCGGCGATGTACGCGAGCTCGCTCCATTCGCCATCATCAATGGGACGGAAGCTGCCGGTAATGCTCTGGCGACCAGGGTTCTCATGTATGAAGCTAGGTGTATGTCAGTTAAAACACGATCCTTATTCGAGAATGATTAACTAACGTAACGCGACCACGGATGTAGTTTTCGTCATCCTTCTCGAGAAGCGCGCGCTCTTCGTCAGTGCCTGTCTCCGGGCATGCCTGGAAAAGAATAACGATTAGACGATGTCATGACTAGGACACAAAAGATGAACCTCGCAGCAGTCTTCAAGACATTCGGCTGCGGTACCAAAGAATGCAGGATGACGGTGAAGCTTGCGGTCTTTGTTCTTTGGGTTCCAAATAGCTTTTTATATGATGCGTCAGAGCCAGCAGCGCCGATGAGGTATTACTCACAGTTCATCTTGATATCAGCCGTGTAAATAAGGTTTTCGATTCGCTGGGCATTCCACCTCGGGCCGTACGGGATGTGCAATGTAGACACGTCATAGTCGTTCATCTCCAAACCAAAGAACGAGTCCAGTCCCTTGAGGTCACCCTTGTACCGGCGTTGGCGATTGGATCGGCCCCGGTATACATAAGGGCGCCCACGGAGATTCCGACGCTCCTCGATGAACTTGTCTCGAATGTTGCTATCTCTCAGAGACTCGAGAGCGAGAAGACGGGCGAGGCCAGCAACGCGGGCGATGGAGCGCTCGAAGATCTGCAATTTTGATGTGAGAACCGAGCAGAATACGAAGAGTAGAACATACCGTAGGGTCGATATCAGCACGCCGCAGAGATGGTATGTACACCTCAAACCCTCTAGCTGCGTACTTTGCAAGGCGCACCTCGTATGAGGGAGACCGACGAGTCATGTCAACGGTATTACACTGACGCATAAGTGCAATGAGGGAGCGTGGGTTGACCCAGACTTTGTTGCCTGTATGCGTGTTTCAGCACAATGCCAATGTATGCGCGGTGATATGAAGGGAATACCATCGTAGAGACAGCAGGGAGCATCGATGTCAAAGCCAGCCAGAATCTCTGCAGGAGACTGATAGAGACGCAGTACAATCTGGATCGCACGATAGGGGTACTGAGCTGGGTGAATATTAGCACCGGTACGGAAAAGAAGTAGAGCACTACTTACAATGAATTGAGACGGTGTGTTTAGTGCGGACACATGTCACATCCCAAGGGATGGCGTCGCGAACCATGCGATAGATATAGTCAATCTTCTTCTCCGCCTATACCATCTATAAGTAAGCGCATATAGTCGCGTAATCTGAGCACTCGCCTCGGTGGGGGTCAAACCATACAGGAACATATCGATGTCAGAGGTGGGAGTAGCCTCAGCATGGAACCACTTCCTCAGCGTCCTCCTCGTTTGCGCCGCTTCATCCGGCAGCGGGGACAAGCATGCAAGGATAGACCCGCCGGCGACGACAATGTTGCTCCAGTCGGTGATAAGTGAGAGTGAGTTCTCAGTAAATACGTTGAAGTTCGCCTTGAATTCATCCAGACCCTTCACCGTAGATGGCACCCCTTCCTTTCGACGCTTCTCGGGATTGAGAGGCATGACGAACTTGGCGATCTTGTCATCATCGTTTTTGACGACGCGTTCACGCGTCAGACGCGCCTCGTTCGGGACAGCGAAGACATCGACGAGTCCGACGTAGGGGTCTTTGAGGATGGAGCTGTCGCGCTCGGTCGCGAAGAGCCTACGGAGATCTGCCTCGTAATCGAGAGCAGGCTGCAGAGCGTCGTCGAGGCCGGCGCCAGGGCCATCGGGCAGAGACGAGATACGCTTGAGGAATGTTTGAATTTCGTTACTAGGTGAATACATCTTGAGACAATGGGGAGCGAAAGATGTTGAGTCTGAACGGTTGGACAATCGCGCCTTTTGTACCCTGGCGACGAGGAGCAAACGAGGGGCGTTGCTCTGCCTCAAACGTCAACCGGTGCCGCCTGTCACGATCGTCCCCCTTAGAATCCGTCGGGCCGACGCGCGCAGAGTCATACAAGTGGGTGACTCCTGGCGGCCTTGTGGATACCTGGTGGTTTGGAGCAAGCCGCGCGGCGCAACGAGTCAACAGCCATCAAGGCGCATCAAATTTACCTATTCGGGAAGCCCCGCCGCGCGCCATCCCGACGATGGCTGTGCTCTACTGTCGTTTTGGGACTTTATTCCCGCGCCCTTCCCGCATCAATTGCGCCCTCTATTCAAATTATCCCCGTCCATCAAAGTTGTACCGCCTAGCTACGCCAGATCACCACTGAGAAGAAAACCACGAGGCATGCCAAATCGGCCTGAGTCACTACGCTATGTCATACCCACAACGCGATGTAGCGCTGATACGCTCGAGTTACGGCGCACACTTGGGCGCACATGTCTATACGGGCGTTCAGGTCCCAGGATGAATTCCTCAAGTCAACCAGAGTACCACTGGCAGGTCTCGGTACTTGAGCAAAGGCGATTGCAAAACTGACTGCTCCTGATGGGAAGTCCCTTCAAATGGTATCTAGCTCAATACTGGATTTCTAGTAAGTAACCTGGTTATATTAATTAATGAAGTACTCAAAAATACGGACACATACTGTCTACACTCAGATCGAGATAAGTACATAACGCGTTCATGCTACAATTAATGTTCGAAGGCATGGACATGGCGAGATACAAGATACGCATATCAATACGCAAAGGGACGCATAAAGATCCATATAGGAATTTTGGATGCGAGCATAAAATCGAAATAAGTCAAATAATAAAGTACGCAGGCACGTACAACATCTAGGCGCTAGGTTTGCTTAGCTGACGCCCATTTTTGTCACCTTTCCAGAAGGGTTGCGGCAGTGATCGAACCACGACACCGAGCTCCGTAGCCGGATAAACCGAACTTCCTTTCTGCAGGCGGATTGCTAAGTTGGCCCGTTAGGATGTTTGGAGTAGAAAGGATATGATCCAAAGTGCACCGACCACAGCACGAAGGCAACGTATGAGTTCTCGATAGGCGCCAGAGGCAGTCTGCCCATCAGAAAGTGGTATATCGGGATGCCACCAGAATGTTCCGCTCCCGCGAAGCCTTCCATCGCCACCCCGTTGCCGATGGCGTCGGTAGATCCACAGGAGACCCCGGCGCAGGCGCTGAGCCAACCCCGGAAATTCGCTAGCTGGACGACAGTCTCACAAAGACGCTCAGTCGCCTTCTCTTTCTCCCCATACATGATGGGCATTGAAACGCCCAAGATGCCCATAAGGCAGTAGGCCTTGTCCTCCTCCCGCGTCGTCTGGCGATATTTGGCCCATTCTAACTTGGCGTGCAAATCTTCGAGACCGGGGTGGAAACCATTTGGTGAAAGGTATTCCCCATGAATGCCTGTGACTCGCTCTATCGCCACTTGCCAAAGAGGATCGGCCTTGTGATTGAACCACCAGTGCTGTCCCGACGGGTCGGCGCGTCCGAGCGAGCGCCAGTTCCTGGAATAAAATCGAAGAGTAGTCGGCGCGAGCAGCTCTTGAAGTGTCCAACCTCGCCTAAACCACTCGCAGGAGGCGAGCCGACGGTTCAATAGCCACTCCAGCGCGCGACTATCAACCGGGGTATCCGCACGCTCGGAAGAAAGATTGAGAGAGGTAAGAAGAGGGGGAAGGCTGGCTCGTCTAACACCGCTGCCGCGCCCGAGGATAGGATCAGGTACGTCATTCAGATGAACGATGGTGATCGCCGAATTTTGATACCAGCTGAACATTGAGGTAATGGACTCTTGCAGCTCGCTACTGTCCGTCTTGTTGATGCAGCAGGTGTCCGCCCATGCCCAGCTGTATCCGAGCTTGTTCGCTGTGCAGCAGAACTCTTGGATCTTCTTCATCCCTTCAGAGCGTCCTAACTTGTCCTTGCGTTGGAACAATGTCCCGAAGTGCGAGATAGAACGTTCCGCTTCCATGAAAGAGGTTTCATTCGCGCTCCAGCGGTGAGAAAGCATGGCATACGCGAGCTGCGGCCGAACGATATCGTCCAAATATTCTTTGATGGAAGTGGCTGCACAGGAGACACGGTTTTGGATGTCAGCGACTGAAGCGCGAAGGTTTGCGGCGGAACGGCGGTGCGTAACTCTCCGAGAGGTCGTTTTAGATGAGCAAAGGAGGAGAGCCGGCTCTCCCTTGTTCACGAAAGTAGGCGTAATAAATGCATTCTTCAAGATATTCTTCAGTGTTAGCCAGGGTACGAGTAACTGGTCGGTAGACTGATCAGAGACTGGCGATGGGCTGGTTCGGAGATGGTGGGCCAAGGGTTGGTCCATAGGGGTAATACCGGCTTTCTTGAGGTGGAGACTCAGTACACCGCCATGAACAGCTTCCTGTATTTCTGGCTTGCTGAGGACGAAATTCTTGATAATGTAATGGTTGGCAAAAGTGCCCTTGACTGTGTCTATGAGTCTGATAGGCATATCCCTCAGCATCTCGCTGATCCTCATGCCGAGTAGATGTAGCTGTACGATACAAAACCACATATCAGGGGAAGTATCCAAAAATCGATGATCCGCTACGCACCATGATCTCGGCTTCTTGGTCAATGGTTGGGGTCCTAGTTGATGGTTTTGTGGAATAATCAAATCCTCTCCGACCGACTCGCGGCATAAGTTACTGTAAAAAGAGGAAGTGAAAGCTCTATGTCTTCTGCAAAAACCAATGTAGAGCACCGTATAAGTATACTCTTCTGAGCGACATGAGGCGGCTTGTGCTCCACCGACTCAAAGTGTGTTGCAGTGAGCATGTCGAAGGCATGAGGTAGGGGCTGAGCGGACACAAGTACTGGCATCAACATGAGGGAGAGCGCCTTGTTCTGTTGGAGTGCAAGGTCCACAGGCTCATCCGCCTCGGGGGTCCTGAGAACGATGGCTGTATGCCGAGCGAGAAAACGTTGGTATTCTTGGTTAAACCGACCACAAACACTGTGTATATGACATATGCTGTAGCATAAGTCCTCGATCCAAAAGGATTTGCGCCGCGATTCGCCCGCTTTCTTTCCTCGTTACGCACCGTCGGCCTGAATATGCTGCCATGTCGAGTCAAATCCTTAGCGGCTGTCCATACATTTGCACCATACCCACGTCGTTGGTCCATAAAACCTGACCAATACTGGACGAACCTGTGCACACAAACCGTATAAACAACATGCATAGAACAAGCAAGGGACTGTCCGCAAAGGTGTGATGCTGCATGCGGACTATTGCATCATCGATCAGTCCGCAAGCTCGGTGCTTGAGACCCTCTCCGAGGGTAACGTGTTCAGCCTTCACACTGGTCCTTGAACCCGTTCTCTCTTGTTCTTCCCTTGGCCGTCGACCGTACCGCAGAAAGTGGCTGAAGGGCACTGTCCTCGTCCTGCTGGCACAGCAAAGAAGTAGTACCTGTCTCGTCTTACAAGACCGGAGCGCAGGCAATACACTGGCAATACCCACCGCTGTGCGGAGTGTCAAAATATGAGCGCCATGATTGGGCGAAAAGTGTCGGGTGATAATATCCCCGATCGCTCACTCACCAAGGTTAGACGCCTGGGGCTCAGCGTGGAGTGCCACAAGCGCCGGCAGCAAGTCCGTCCCTGCCGACTGTGCTTCACCCGCTAAAACGTGTTCTTCTTGGCCGACCACCATCGCCACCATGCAAGTGCTCTACTGCGGGTGGGCGCGAGCCTCGTGTAATCGCACGCACAGTCATCCCTGTCGTCAGTGGCGCTCACGTTCTGCAGATCGGCGATTGCTGTGTTAGAACTTTGCAGGCACCCGAGCGGCGACAGCGCCGTACGACGGAAATATCCATTTCGGTAGACACACTAGGCTGAACCACCGACAGGTTCTCAGTGGAAAGGATTGGTTCCTGAGTTAAGACGGCCCAGATCTGATCGCATGAAGAAGGAAGCCACACTAGATGCGATTAAGCACGTAAAATATCTAGGTCAACTCGGATCCATATCATGCTCAGAGAACATAATACATATATCAGGGCCTTTCTTGTCGACCCAATCCTTCCACATTTCGTCATACCGAGCCGCCCAACACCGCCGACCGCGAGACTCGGATACGACTTGATCGGTTTCCATCCGGGCGATACGCTGGATCTGCCTCAGATCGTGATTGCTGTATCCTACCATGAGTCTAGAGGCTTCCTGAAAACTGGGATGAGGCTGAAAGAGGCGCATATAGCAGCTGAATAACTGAAGAAGGAAATCTACGTACGCCGTCGGGGAATACCATGCGATGCCACTTGCAAAACGTGCGGGCGGGGATGTGAAAGGGCTCTGCTTCGACGATATCGGCCATTCTGCAGTCCCGGTAGGGCGGAAGCAAGCGGGGGCTGTAATAGTGAACGAGCGCCGAAGGCTGACGATCGTTCGACGGAAGCAAGTACGCGCGATCTCGAGCGGTTCGTGACCAATAACGTGACTCTTCGGTCGCCGAAATAATACGTGTGGTGGATGGTAGTGAAAAACCTGGGCGAAGAGGAATCGGAATATGCTTTTGCATAAGAAACAACAGTCGTCGAGAGAAATGCAGAAATGCAACAAGAAGCGAGATAGACGATAGGCATGCTCTCGTTATCCTGCATGGATAGTACGACAGCAATAAAACTGCGTACTGCGTGTGTTATTTCCAAACGCCATCATCGGATTCACATAGGTAAGCTACTCACCTTTACCAGATGCTTGTCCGCGCTCTCGATGAATCTCCGAGCCCTTCTACGAGCGACGCCCGAATCATGGTTTCGAGTATGAACCTCGGCGTCCATGGAAGAGATGAAGACAAAGGGATACACCCTGTCCGTAATCCCCACAGCCCCTCGGTCACTGTAGAATGGGCCAAACATTGATACCAGCGTGAAAGCGCAGTGGGTTATGGGTTGACGCACGTTGGTTCATACTAGTGACCAATAATATCAACGAGGCTAGGCCGTCGAGTCTGTTTAATTCCCTAACATCCATGGATTCATGCGTGAGTTTCGTGATAAGATCGTCGTGTCCAAAACTATGAAGAAAGCTGGAGAGGATGTAGGACATGTGTTGATGTGGTTGTGCACGTCGACCGCGCCGCGACAATGGACTTGCTCATCTTGAGATTCAAACTCCGCGCTCACAAAATAGTCCAAACATCGCATGGTCAGTGATCATAACAAGATTTCATCTTGGTTTCATTGAGAAAAGTACAGCTAATTTCCAACATTTCCGTTACATTTGTCACATGAATGCCCGCTATATATACAAACCCAACCCTGAACCCGAAGGAAAGTCCCGCAAAAGCTCGCCTATACGCTTAGACGTACTTGATAGTGACATCGCTTCCAATGCTGACCGAGGTCAACACCTTGCCGTTCTGCTCAATGTCAATGGCAGTCGCACCCGAGGGCGATACAGTGCCGCTGGAGGTGGTCGCGGACGCGTCCGTGAACGTGACCGTACCGAAGTCGGCGAACTCGACGAGCGAGTTGCCCTCCTCGAAGTCCTCCACGATCCACTCCGCGTTCTCCTGGCAAAGTGCGGAAGAAGAGGTGATCTCCTTGGTGACAGTCTTTCCAGTCGTCGTGTTCTCGATCACAGCCGTGCCAGACGTGGTCGAGGAGGCGGTGACGGTGAGCTTGACGACGTCCCCAGAGGAGAAGGAGATGCCGGAGAAATCGTAGGCGTAGTCGGGGTACCACTCGTACCAAGCTATCAAAGCCCTCGTTAGCGGATATTTAAAGCAAAAGTGATGACCTTACCATCGTAGGAGACATCGCCGTCAGAGACGGTGAAGTCGACACCGGTCTGGAGGATGGCGTTCGAGCACGTATCACCGTCGATACCGACCCAGGCGGATGCGGCACCCTCGCCTGAGGGCGTGGGGACGGTGAATGTACCAGTCACGGCGGTGTACGTGCCCTAAGTCGCAGATAACACAGCTTTAGCCTATTATTAGGCGATGCGGGGAACATGTAACGAACCGAGCTCTCAGCGTAGACGGCACCAGCCCAGTTCTCGCTGTACTCAGTGTTCAAGATGCGTTGAGAAGGCTGCGACTGACGGCCTTCGCGACGGCGAGCGAGGCGGTCTCCCATGCGGGACGAAGGGCGGGCGAGAGCTACAGAAGCGAGGAGAATGCTGGTGAGGACGGCGAACTTGGACATGGTGAGTAGGATACGATAGGAGCTGCGAGTGATGGGTCGAGAGCCTGGAGGTGGAGGGTGATCATCAAGCTGCCTTTATACGTTTCCTGGAGACATTGCGCCATCGTCAGGCAGCAATAACAGGCGGAACCCCGACATACTGGACATCACAAGTATGTTTGCGCAATCAGACAACTTTGCCTCGCATTATCTCGTACCTGAAGATCAGCATGGTTTCTCGTCCTCTCCATATGCTCGCAAGGGTGTAAGGATGGCACCACAAGGCCTTTGTCCCTGACTCCTGTTCAAGAATGTTCACGAAAATGAGGTTGAGGGCCAAGATAAGGCTCAACGCCGAGCCAGAAGCAAAGCGTTTGCGGATGCCGGCGTGACACCGCCGGCAGCCTAAACGGACATTATGAGTCTCGTGCCCATCAGAGGAACGCTGCAAGTGATGGTGTTCTGCTCACGTGAATAAAGGGTGTTTTCTAGCGGCTCCGAGACTCGTTCTTTGTCGAGCTCCTTCGAAGTCGCATGGCAAAAGGTAAATCATAGCTATCATCATCGATCGTAGTGCTCGAAACCACAGCTGGCTCCACGTCGCTTGGGTATGGGTGTGAGCCAGCGATCTCTATGAGAGCGGCAAAGGACGACGTACGGAATTCCAAGTATAGCACGTCTTTCGTGGAGCCGCATCTGCGCTTCTAGTCGGATGGAACGCGTACCTCGTGGTCCATGAGGCCAAAGGCGGCAACTTCTGATAAGAAAGACGAGGAAAGACAGTATCCTGTGTTATGCTACTGGCAGTAGTGCGAAGAGTCGCGACTGCTGGGCTTGCGACATTCACCGAGGGAAAGAGATGATTACATGGGAGAGGCGTTCCCATGGGCGTGAAGGAGCCTGTTACGCCTCGCAGGCATTGTCCGAAATCTGGGGACCATCCGATTCTCGTCATGCGTGTCCCCTATTCTGAGTTTATCGCGCGTACCTCAGCACATGAACTTTGTTCGCACTGTGAGTAAAAGTTGAGGGTTTCGCTAAAAATAACTTACCTTCCAGGTCATGCGCTACATTCATTAGCTCGACGAGGCGCGTATACAGATTACTTGAAGGGTAAAAGAAGGAAAGGAAGCATAAGTACAACGGACGACGGACGACCATGAAGGTGCTGCTCAGGCTTGCTGCTACAGCACCCATTTCCTGCGAGACAGTCTTTTCCATGGTTATAGTGGGCCGCGTGGGAAGTTAGAGCTCGCATCGGTTATGGGATCCTTCAGAGCATTTCTGAAGTTAACGATAAAACGGTGAATGACATCGTTGATGCTCCGAGGTCGGAAATGCAAGTGTTGCAACATTGCGGTTTAGAGCGAAGGTGGAGTGAGAAGGGGCCGTTTAGGCCTAGGGCCAGTCCTGAATCCGGGAATTTCCGATACTAATTTCTCACAAGGGTTTTAATTTAATTGGATTTATTGGATTTATTGGTCTTGTTCACACGGTTTTTTTTCTTGGGTAGTCTTGCTAGTAACCACGAGCTGATCATGTCCATGGGGCCCCAATGGCGTACCCTCCCTTTCTATCATTCATACTCAAGTGGACGATTGATGAATTAAAAACATACGGTGCGAGACTGGCTCAGGAGGTAGCTGATTACCCGAGGCAGAGCTACACTGATTCCGCCGCTCTTCCATGTTTCAGAACGCATCCTCGCTTGATTCTCGCAGTTCCTGGCCGACGAAGTCACATACACCGACAACCCAGCGCTCTTGCACCGAAACATTCTGCATTCCGTCAACTCACCGATGGCGAAAACTGGTGACATAGTGCCCTGTTTAACGAAAGTCTAATCCGCGAAGCTGTTCTTTACGCATGCTGTCGAACTTCGAATTCCGTGATCCCGCCGTACTTATTTGACAGAAGGTGTCACTGGCTCCAACAAGGCAGTTCTGCCGCGGGCTTCTTCTCGGTTATGCACTCATGACGCGTTCCTGGTCGCAGCCAAGCCCAAGTGCACTCTGTAGACATCCCTTTGGCGTTGAACATGCCCTCGACACGGGCAACGTCTGGAAACCGAAGGTTCCCCTCGTTATACGTTTAACCGATTATTCGCCCTCGTTTTTCCAGCATGTCTGGACGTTCAACAGGAAAAAGTAAACTCCCAGCCACAGACGAGTATAAAGGTAGTCGTCGCTGCTCTCGTTGAAGGTCAGAACAGTTTCACTCAACTGCAATATTAACCGAAGTCACCATGCTCTTCTCTGCTACATTCGCTGCCTTGGCTTCCCTTGCGCAGGTCTCTTGGGTGCGTACTAGGTTCTATACAATATCGGTGTATGAGCTCAGTAAAGATCCCGACAGGTTGCTGCGCACGGCGGAGTGCTCAGTTACAACATCGCGGGCACAACCTACAATGGGTAAGCGCTTGCTGGCTTTATCCAGAAGTCGCTCTCTGAAACTCATTTTGTGAACAGCTTTGTCGCCTACAACACCGCGACCGGACAGTCTAGCATTCAGCGCGAGTGGGACACCTATAACCCCATTCAGGACCCGACCAGCTCGTACATGTCTTGCAACACCAACGGAGCGAACCTTGGAAGTGGACAAGAGTACGCGACTGTAGCCGGTATGTTCACCAGCAATTAACTCATTCATTAGCACTCGCTAACATACGCCAGCCGGATTGCAGATCACTGCCTACTGGAAGTAAGTGTGAACCGTCAATTATAATCAACGCATTGCTGACAGCTGTTAGCCAATGGCCTCACACCATCGGCCCTGTCATGGTCTACATGGCTAACTGCAACGGCGACTGTACTGATGCCACCACCTCGAGCTTGGAATGGGTAAATACGACTCATCACCAGATTGATAACTCGCTAACCCATGCACACTATAGTTCAAGATCGAACAGGCAGGCCTCATCTCTGGTGACCAGCCCACTGGCCTCTGGGCCATGGGCGAGCTCGTGAACGACAACAGCTCCTGGACGACCAATATCCCCTCATCGCTCGCGCCCGGGGAGTACTTCATCCGCCACGAGCTCCTCGCGATCCACACCGCCAACACGCCCCAGTTCTACATGGAGTGCGCGCAGCTCAAGGTCACCGGCAGCGGCTCTGCGACGCCCTCGTCGGAATACCTTGTCAAGTTCCCTGGTGCTTACTCCATGTGAGCATCACCAGATTTTCTGGCTTCCCGAGCATATGCTGACCGGATTTTTTATGAACAGGAGCGACCCCAGTGTTGACATAGATGTCTACAACAATGCTGGTGTCGATACCTACACCATTCCTGGACCTGCTGTTTGGCCTGGGAACTAAGTAGCGAGTCATAACGTTATGACGTTCTTTCCTTTTGGGTTCGGTGTTCGATGTGTCGGTTTATCCGGGCTATGTCCTTGTTCCTCCGGTTAGTTAGTCCAATGTACTTACTGACGATGTCTCTTCCATCTCGTGTGTTTCATTTGGAGCTCGATTGCTAAGGAACTTCGGTTCAAGTGCGATAAGATGAACGGCCAAATCAGTAGTGGTCATGATTTAGCATGCTTCTCCCACCAGTGAGCTCCTTGGGATTCGCACGTGTGATGTGATGCACAGTGATGCTACATTCTGGTCTTCCATTAGGGTGCCAGCTGAATCTGTCGCTGGTACCTACACACGGTGAAACCAAACTTCTTAACAATGATTTAAGGGTGCGCGACAAAGACGATTTCTACCGAGTGCCGTACTACTGTAGTTTTTCGACCTTAGGTTCGGTCCCCTGTCCACCCCCCCTCGCGAACCGAACCTCCGGGGGGTGGACAGTCCCCCCTCTAGTCAGGCCGTCGAACTTAGGCAGGGGGACATACCATTAAATAGGCATAAATATGAGCAAATTACTAGAAAATATTAAACAAAACCTATCCAAGGTATTCTCAAAGCCTATGCTACCATTGTTGCTTGTTAGACACCCCAGATAATTGTTCAAGTCGTTCCTTTAATCCAGATACTCACAGAATTGGTGACCACATCAGGCTCATTGTCCATGCCAGGGGCCATGTGGAACCCGAGCCCCCAGAACTCGATCAGTGAGACTGTGGGAACTCAACCATGGTGAGTACTTTAGCCAGCAAGGCGCCGATGCTGAGCTTAAAGTTGGAGCGGAGTCAGAGGGACGAGCACAATAGCTTAAGCACCTGTGCTGATGACCAACTTTCAAGGTTGGTTCACTTTGTCTGGCACTCGACGTCGGGAATGTTCTTGAAAGCGCTGCTGGGGCCTTAGTCAAAATGTATACAGCACGTTATTTTCCATTATGATTTTCTTCGCTGTCGGTGTTGAGGCCGAGGGCTAATTAAAATCTGAAGCATGAGCGAGCACGAACTAACTGTCCACCCTCGGTTTGGCCCCCCGAACCTATAGGGGGGGACAGACGGTTATGGAAGGTGCGTTAAATCTCCGACTTCCCACGCCACCGCGAACCTAAGGTCGAAAAACTACAGTATAATCCTATGTTACTGAGATAGAAGATCAAGACATAAGCACAGTACCATAGCCTTCGGCATGACATCATTATTCGGTCCAATGTTGTGCCGCACCATTTCCAATGTGTGTCTGCTGTTTTGGACGGTCGACGAACAATACGCGCGTCGTGCATGTACAGCTGATCCTCCACAGCATTATTTACGGCATTCAGCTTAGGCCTTCCTGATTCTCGAGCCTTGACTCCCTCAACTACATACCTGAGTCCACTGCACGTCTATGAGATGACCACACCCCCTCCAAACGACCAAGACGGGCCTTTTAACAGAGCTCTGGGCCAGACAATTACCGGAGTACGTGCGCCAAGTCTCTGTTCTCAGCGATAGGGCACCTGATACTGTAGATTATGGTAGCACCTTGACGGTGTGTTCCTGTGGCATTCTAGCACTCTCATTCATGATTATTTGGACTTTAGTTGCAGCGTTGACACTGCTGGTTGGTGCCTGTCGCTATGCCATACGCTGAGCTGATGTTCTCTCGTTAGATATACGATTATATCATGACATTAAGTCAAGAGGTCGGCCTACGTATCTTCAACGAGTTTAGTCACCAGTAATCAAGCTGAGCATAGATACGATGGGTGGCGGGGAGTAAATGGGATCTTGCCCGGATTTTGTTTACCCTGGAGAGATACTTGTCTTTCGCTGCTGTGTCTCTTACTCTTCGTAAGTTAAACGCGTTTCTTTTTGCATTCTGTCTCCTAAAAAAGGAGTTCACAGGCTCGATACAACCCGGGTCATACGAGCACGAAAAGGTGGGCTCCAGGTGTTCTTCCTACTAAATGGCGTCCTTATCTATGTTTTAGTGCTCAGCTAGCCGCATGACTGCCAATGGTTGGTTACTCATGAAGAAGGATCTCACAACGTGTTGACCTGTCTATAGCGCTGTACACCATCTGCATATTGATGGCCGAAGGTGCGTTAAACTTACCCACATCTCGATCAACAGTCCTAACTTCCGTAAACCAGCTCTCTTATCATTGCGGGTTTGGGCCTTTTGGAACAGAAATCGTACAGTGCTTACAATTATATGCGGAAGTGCTGGTGTATGGTATTTTGTGCACACGCGGATTCTTAGATGAGGTTGACGATGTCTCAGGCCCAGTGGAAACGTGCTGTGCTCAGATGGGTGGGAATCCGGGCGGATTGGTGAATCGAAGCATATCTCGTGGTGCTTCTTTGATGCACCGATACACACCAATTCGAACCCATGGCTGGACTGTTCACCGATTTTTTGGTGTGAATTCATGATGCCCATTGGCTGAAATCCGGGCACATCGGTTCGTATCGGTGCTCGTATTCACAAATTTGGGAGCTCAGTTTATCTAGTACATTACCATAAAGAACACGACGAGATCTGATCTACATTCAATCGGCTCAGGATCTGATCTGATCGGGTCTATTCGGGTCTGCAAATATAGAACAAATCCGTTTTATTCGGGGCACTGCTTTACAAAGCGTGTCTAATTATAATACACGGCATGGAAATCGACTAAGTCCAGCGAGCACAGTGAGAGCAAACGATAGCACGAGGAGAACACGCGTGACGGCAAATGGAGCGAGAGTCTGCAAGGAAAGCACTTCGAGGGGTCAGACAGTGAGAGAGCCAGAGCACGAGGGCGATCGATTGAAGAATAGCCTAGTAAAGGTCACCGATGGCGACGTCCTTGAGTGACCTGCGCGAGGGTTCTTCCCTCATCTGCCGAAACATAATGGGTATGGGTATAAGTGTAGGGATCACGAAGCATGACAATGAACTTCACCAGTCTTTGTACCTCCTCGTCGTATTTCTATAGGCAAAGACAAATAATGTCAGTGATAACCTCAATGAAAGGCTAGAAACACTCGCCCGACGCTGCTCCTCCGTCAAGAATTTTTCGTACCAATTCGCAAAGTCGGTTTTGTCGACCTTGCTTTGGTCTTGACGAGTGGTCCACCTCCACCCAGCTAGAGTCCTTGTAAAGCGTGTCAGCGAGGACTGACGCGACATACAGCACATACCGGCCATTGAGTTTGGGTCCTGGGCGATACCCTTTCTTTATAGGGACGCTAGTAGTAGTCCTGTAGCCGAAAAGTGAGTGCCTAATGATCGATGATATGAATGGAAAACTGACTCCATATTGCGCGAGCGAAGAGAGCGTAAAGCGTTCCTTGCCCCTGTACCTGAACCAGTTGTTGAAGAAGAAGTCGGCGCTTGAGGTGGGCCCATGGGCGCTGCATCTGTCGGAGTAGGCGGTGTTGCGACTGCATCTGTACCTACGTGCTTCTCCGGCGTCGGTCTGGCCCAAGGAGCCTGCGAAGGCGCAGGCGTCGAACTTGGAGCAATGGACATTGCCCGAGGGGTCTCGCAAGGAGCCAGATGAGCCATAGGCGTCAGTACCTGCTGGTGAGATCCGTAGTATGCTCCTGGATACTGAGATGGCCCCACAGAGGACCCTAACGCTCCGTAAGAAAAAGCAGGAGCATACATTCCAGGCAAACTGCTGAACAATGAGCCCATAGGAGGTCCGATAGGATGTTGGGGACGCGCGGTCGAGGCGTTGTGTATCATGTCAACTAGGGCTGCGGGCGACTGCGTCAGAGCTGTATGAACCTGGTGGTAAAAGCCGGCGTGCATCGTTGGTACAGTAGAAGCCCCAGGCGGAGTGACGCCCTGAGCAGGCGCCGTCGAGGTGGGGCGTGACATGTCAGCTGGGCCCGTGGGTGACGGTGTAGGAGCTGGAAGGACCTGGTAGTGAGAGCCGGCGTGCGTTGCAGGCTGTACAGTAGAGTCCCCAGGAAGAGCGACGCCTTGAGCAGGCGCCGTCGAGGCATGGCGTGATGTGTCAGCTGGGCCCGTGGGTGGCGGCGGAGGAGGTGGAAGAACCTGGTGGTGAGAACCGGCGTGCGTCGGATGGACAGTAGGATCCCCAGGAAGAGCGACGCCTTGAGGGATGTTCGCGAGAGATTGGGTGGGAGCCAATGCGATAGGTTGAGAGCCCGATGCCATTGGCGCAGACAAGGGAGAGGCATGAGAAGCGCTCGCAGGGTGAGGGGAAGCCGAGCTCGTTGCCTTGGCGTCGATGGAAACAGCGTGTCCGTGTAGTGCCTCGCACGCCGGCGTCTGATCCATCAAATAGAGGTCGGCCATCTCCTCCTTGGTGAGTGCTGAGTGACACTGTCTTTGCTCTTGAATTGACACTGTATGACGTGCTCAGAAGATAAGACTGCTCATATGCGTGAATATGACTCACCCTTCGGACGCTTCGCACTCTCGCTCTGTTCCACTGGCGTAGCGTTAGAACTCTCCTTGTGTTTCCTGTTGCCCTCATCGTCTAAATGCCACCGCCTATACTCCGGGAACTCCGTAGTGCAGAAATGCTCGACTTTCCAGTTGTAGTCGCAGAGACGGAAGACCTCGTAGTTGTCTCGAAGAAACTTCGCTGTAAGGTACAGTCCATGGAGAGATGTCTGAGCCCACTTGAGGGACAACTTCTTCTGCTCGGCGAGACCGTGCCAAAAGGAGCGGACTTGGTCGCGTAGCCGCTTTGATTCGTCGTGGGTGAGGGGCTCGCCGTTCGATTTTTCGAGGTAACCCAGTGTTCCGCGATCCTTCTCGAGTTGTTTGTCGGATGATTTGTCCCATGCGACGAAGGTATCTTGTTCCCACCAATGAACGCCGTGGTGCTGACGTTTGAACTCGGGGGAAGGAGCCTCGTAGAAGATGCCAACGTCGATGTTCTCGCCATAGGTAGGAGTGATGTCGGAGAGCTTGGATGAAATCTTCTGTACTAGAGCACCATAGCACTCCCTAGCACCGTTTTTATAACTGGTCACAAGCGTAAATCAGGAAATTACGCACCGTAAAGTCCTGGATTCAGTACCTGCCTCATCTCGCTCCCGTGAAAGACGAGAGATCTCCTCTCGTAAGACACCGACTTCTTCGTGGAGCTGGGTGACCTAAAACACAGATCGTGGATATATGCGCAATAAACGCTCTCAATAACAGATCAAAAGTGGACGCTTACCATGTAGCTATCCGCGCTCATGAACCCAGATGAGATAGAGCGATCTGTGGCCCGAGAGATTGATCGTGCACGTTCGGTTTCACAGGGCACAGCACCGAGCAACTGACGAGGTGGAATGAAGCTGAGAGAGCCAGAGCCCGCCGAGGTAGGAGAACCAGAGCCGAGACTGAAAGGCCGGGGAGCTGAGAAGCTACTGTGCGTTGCCCGACCGTAAACAGACATGTTGAGGAGATAGATTAGGTGGTGGGGGAGTGGAGGGAAGGAAAGGGAGAGCAAGAGACGCAGACCCAGAGATGCAGGAACGAAGAATACCCACAAAGGGAAATTTGACATGTCATTCCAGATTTGATCTGCACCGGTGCCTGTGCGGTGCTAGTGACGTTCACAATTTTAGAAATGATGTCATTACTAACATTCCAAACATAATCTTTGTTTCACAACTTTTTTGATGATACGAGGACATCTCAATTTTACAGTACGGACAGTACAGAAAGACTAGCAAAGGTACTACCTAACGGATAGCGTATGCAATCTAATCAAACCTCGGGGGATGCCCTGTTCTTAGCGTCGGCGCCAAGGTCGGCGCTCTCCTTCTCTGAGCCAGATGTTTCTGACTCGGAGATAATGTCCATGTTGTCGGCGCCATAGCCATCCTCTGGCACTGGAAGCAAAAGGTTAGACAATAAAACGAGCATAATAGACTAACTCACAAGTTCTGACCCTGCCCGAAGGGTCAACGAGCCAGGAAACCCATGGCTTACACACGCGCGTCCATCCGGGTGGAGTAATGACCTCAGCTGCCATCTTGCTGCCAGATGCAACAGGCTGAGCGGGTAGCGCCGTCTTGCTGCTCGATGCTACAGGTTGAGAAAGTGTGGCCGGCCGGCTACTCGATGCAACCGGCCGAGTAGACTTTGTCGGCTCACTGCTCGTTGGAAAGGGTGTGGTGGTCCTCTTGGCCTGACGAGGCTTTGGGCGCGGCTTCGGACGGGTGTTTAGGACCTTGGCAAGATGGATAAGGGTGTCAGATAAGACGGACAAGTCCTTCTCAACCTTGAGACGAGTCGCTATCTCGTCCAAATTCTCGCCAAAGCCGGGATCCAAGCGATGCTTGCAATCGTCGAAGGCAGTTTGAGCGTCGATCTTCACTTGCTTGATACGAGCGTCGAGCGTCAGGAGGGCCTCCTTCCTAAGGCTTGAGCGATTTTCAGCCTCTACTTGATAGAGACGTTGATATTCGTTGGCACGGGCTACGTCCTCGGGTGTCTGCTTAGGTAGCTGACTGGACAAGCACTCGCAGACCTGCGGGAAGCGTAGGTTCGTCTGCACGGCACGAGGAGCAAGCATGAAGAGGCCGGCGCGGTCTGATTGGCGGCGCATGAGCATGAGGCTTGGCTCAGCAATGACTTCCATGGCTGAGGCACCCGCGTTAATGATGCGCCATCTGCATGATAATATTCAGTGCACACCTAGAATAAAGAGAAATATGCGTACTCAGGCTCAACAGTTGCGGGAAAGGACGGCCCAGAGCGGTCGAACTTGTCCTCGTTCGAGAAAACACTCTGTTGATAGCGACGTCTGATCACAAGAGTCTGTATAACGAGATCAGTATGATACTACAGTGAGAACATGAATAGGAGGCTTACAATCTTTCTGTTTGCTTCGACTGGAGTGAACTCGACGGCAAAGTCTCTATCAAATGAGCCAACTCCAGTGTTGGCGTTTTCAGCCAGGTTAACGATGAGAGTTTCCTTGTTGAATATGACGTTGTGGAGGCACATCTTGAGGGGTTGGCTTTGAAGCAGATGGTTGAGAGCAGCGGTAAAGGATCGAGAGCAGCAGCAGGAGCAAGTAAGAGAAAGTAGGACGCGGAGACGGACTTGCAAGGAGGAGCTTTTAACGTAGCATTGCAGGTACAAAACCAGACGCACCGGTCCGGAAAAGTGGAGCTATGAATGAATGCTAGAGTTGGAATATGTTACGTCGGTGCCTAGCTCGGATGGTGAACCGGTGATTCGGAGCGACAGAATCACTTCATTGGGACTCTGGAATTGTAAGGTACGCCTGCAGGTCCTCGTCAAGTGCAAAGAACTAAAGAGTCAAAACTACACCGTACATGTTATACTATCTATGGTGCATTGCCGCTTTCTTCATCCTCAGCTTCATCATCTAGAATAGAGTCATCGTTGTCTACAAACCTTGTCACATCAAATCCCGGTTTTTCGAACAGGAAAAACTGTTCGTCTTCTTTGTTGGTGGAGGGGATAGTTGGGCAATGCGGAATCATGGCAACGAGGCTTGTTATCTGCTTGACATTGATGGCAAGTGTGTCCGATTCAGGGAGCAGAGCGCATGTGCAGAGCGCACCAACAGATAGATCTAGGAGGTCGCCATCTGGGACAGAATAAGGACAGATAAGAGCCACACCGTCACGATGTATAACTCGGTTTCCCTGCTTGTCGATCGTACTGTAGGCTAGGTGTGTGTAGTGATCGACTTTGCCTATCCTGGTCTTGATACCATCAAGGAACTATTGTAGTAGGTCGGAATATGTCAGTTCGAGCAGGCGAAAAAAGAAATAACCGCGCACTTTGACATTTCGAGATATCCTTGTATCTTCCACGGTCCGCAAGCGCTCTCGCCATGCAGAGTGAGCAACTTGGCCATTAGGAAGCTTGAGTCTCCCCCACCGATAGCAACGACGCGGGTCGAGTCCTTCGCCCAGATATCTGGTGATAGCATTATAGAAAACGCCTTGTGGAACTGTATCGTATCTGGATTTTGTGTGCAGTAGCATGAAGCCATCGCCAAGATCCTCGCACACACGGGGTGTAGGTGGTGATTCGCTGGGATCAAGCTCTGGTATTAACAACTTCAGAGCATTCACCTGGCATCGACGCAAGGCTTCGCGCGATAGATTCTCGTAAATATGAGACGGCTGGCGGATTTCCCTCCCCAGATTGCCGATAGTGCGCTCCATCGTCCACTGCGCATATATGATAGGCGGACCTTTGGCGTATACCTCAGAAGCATAGTGAGTAAGTTGATGAATAATGTGGCGCACAAAATGTAGGCGATCTTCCCGTTGCTCATAGTACAGCTCCTCGAATTGCATGACCCAAGAAGACAGGAGACGATCTGCCTCTTCAAGATCTTCTCGAGAGATCTGATACTGACAAAGTAGCCTCAGAGCTCGAACGAGTTTGCAAAGATGTCGCCAATAGTTCTCTGGTAGAACTTCATAGAGCAGTGCTGGTGAGTAGCCGAGACCATAAGTCTCCCATTCGATCATCTTGTACTGCGAGTGCCGTTTATCGTACAGATCACGGGGCATGCGTTCGTGCTCAGCAGAGAGATGCCTGCCACAATCAGCGACATCTTTCCCGTGTGCCTTGAAGACGTCCGAGTCCAGGAAGACTGAAAAGTTCCAGAGCTCTGGCCGGTCGCCCAAAGAAGCCGATTCACCACGCCAAAGAGTAACAAGGAAGGAGAACAAGTTGCCGATTTCATGCATCATGTCGACAGTCATGCAGCGAGGGATAGGGAGTGTATGCTCAGGCTGAAGCCCTAGAAGAATCGGAGGTTTGACAATACCAGTGTCTTTGCGGCGCCTTTCGTAATCGGTGATACTTGTGGATGATACGAGATGCTCGAGGTTGACAGAGTAATCTGCACAGGCAGGCTGCGGAATAGAGGCCAAGGGAATGTCATTGTGATCGCATCCTAGGACGTGGTAGGAGCCCTGAGGACGAAGCAATGCTGGATAGTATCGAGTACCGCCTGCCTTTCGTCGTCCCAGTATGCCGCAATAGAGACGACACCCATTTTTGCCGCAATAACCACACATACCGTTGTAGTATATGAGGCCTTGTGCGTCAGCCAGTGGGAAGAGGTGGTGTATACGAGATAGATACTTGGTGTTCTGGTATGCGTTCCATACCTGTAGGCCTTCCCGTTGAAGAGCAGAGAGATGATGAAACCCTGGAAATAAGAATGACTCGATGTTTGATGGCTTGTTAGGCCCGGGGATAACGCCTCCAATGAGCACGCGCTTCTTCTTGTAACACTTATCGGGGGAGTAATCGAGTAAAATCCAGACGTAGATTGTCACATCAGACTACTGAGAGTCAATGAGCTGCGCACCATCGAGTGAAGACATGATAACAATGTCGTTATCCTGTATCTTGCCGTCTAGAACACCCTCAAGATAATCGGTACCATGGATATAGTCTTCAAAGGAAGAAATCTGTGTCTTATCTTTGAACAACCGATCAAGGAACTCATGCGTCTTCTCGACACGATAACTAAGGTCTTTGGCACTATCCCAGTCACCGAACGCTGCCTGGACTTGTGTCGCCAGAGGATACGTGAGAAATGTGCGGGACTTGCGTATCTTGCCACCGGTTCTATTAAGAAGGTCTTGGTCGTATCTGGGTTTATGACAACGAGAACATGCTTGAAGGTGCGCATCCGGCCCAGTAAAACCCATGCACGAATCCCAGCACATGTCGTTTTCGATGGCTTCAACGCCTGTGAGCTCGGCGATTGACTTTTCTATGGAATGAAAAGATGGAAGCTCGCATTTAAGCGTTCTCTGTAGTCCTCGCCGTATGTCTTCGTACGAGCGCCTAGAGGAGTGTTCTAGCGCCAGATAAGTGGTGATGGCAAGATCCAATGTCGGACTCAATGGCGGGAGAGGCTGGCAACGAGGATTTCGAATGCGATCTAGTGTCTCTGGGTCAAGTCTAGAGACCGTATCATCTAACGATGCCATACGGATCATCTGAATGAGTGCGATGTCGTCTCGAATGCTCGGCAAACGAGTAATGCGTGCGAGCTTGTCTAAATCAATATCTGGAAAATGACGTCCAGCTGTGAGCTGAAGTGGTGGATAAGGTCGATTGTGTGGATCCTAGCATTGAGTGCGAGTCGTCAAATTAAACTAGTAAAATCAGATAAGCCATTCAACTTACATTGTGGGCATGCGCATGAGTTACATCCGCGTTATGATCAAGCATTCGAGGAGCACTAAGTGAAACAAGGTCGTCCAAAGGCCTAAAGTCAATCTCAGGTTCGGGTTCATGGACACGAGCTCTCTGGGTAGGATGGCGGCCAGTCTCGTCAGCATCCTCATCAGCAGGTCTTTGCGCAGGCACGCTCGAGCCCTTGACAGTGTCACCAATCTTCTTAGCATTGAAGAGCAATAGGTTTGTATAAATCCTACCTCTTCGCTAGCCAATAAAGCAAACATCCGGTCGAGTACTACACGGTCGCCTCGAGAATATAGCCGCACTCGCTTCCGTTCGTGCGGGCAATCGATCGCCTTCAAGTGCTCGTAGAATAAGCTTAAGGATGTCCTGTGCGGCTTTCCTCCTTGAGATCCCCGGCAGACACATTCAATTCTGGGTCCTTTGTGACTGTTGCGTGAAGACATATAGGAAGAATCGCGAGACTGAGTATGTTCTGGTGGCCAGCTGTAACGAACTTTGCTAAAAGATTGAGAACATCTGCCGATCGTTCCGGCCTGCTGTCTAATTCCCGAACTGCCCAAACGCGTTGAATTCCTTACTATTCTCGCAAGATCTCATTGCGCCAATGTCACGTGAATTGATTTCTCCAATCTGCCCGGATTTTATTGATGGGAAATCGACACCGTGCTTCCATAAGTTCCGAAAATTTCACGATTCACCAATCCGCCCGGATTCCCACCCATCTGAGCACAGCACGTTTCCACTGGGTCTCAGGTGCTCATCGTAGCAGCTGTGGCGTCATCAGTTTATCTGAACTCCGCCCATTCCTTAGTTCAGCCCACAATTCTCGGAGGTTAGACGTTTGTCTACGCGGTTATAGACTATTGAATGCAGTCGAAATAGGACCTTTTGGCTGTGATTTCAGTTTATCATTGAGTACTGCTGTGGAATATGCTTTCCTTGCAGCGTACGAGATGAGTAAGGTAACTTGGAGTGTACTTGAGATATGTGAACTGATTTATTCTCATTAATGCAGTACTATTTGGCTTGAAGATGTACAGATGGCGTCAGTTTCATCAAGCAACCGACTCTCGACTAGTTCGACTTGCATATCGAGACGCTATGTTCTACTTAATATGCATGATATGTGCGTATACGTGTTCATGATCCATGTTTTCGGCGTGATATGCTGAAATGGAATACACCCAGTATGCTCCATTACCAACATTGTAGTGATAACTGCTGCGTCGGTAAGCTTTCTCCGTCACACGTGCATAAGATTGATACTTACCCACTCATTAGATGTATCGCACAGCGTATTTTAACAGGTAAGAATTCATTAGACTTGTAAGCACGAGCATGATCTGCCACTTGTCGTAGCTTTCAAGTAGCCATCCACAGTATCCTGAGTATCCGCATCCACTTCCGCTTACGTGCTTGCGCTGCGGAAGGCGAACGAATTATCCCGTTACAGACATTATCGACTTTTCAGGCTGGTATTTCAGCGCTGTACCCCACTTACACAGGACAAGGCTCAAACACGCAAACGAGCTCAAACTGTAAGTATAAAACCAACACATTCTGGCAGCGAAGCTGAAATAACACGAACAGAGAAGCCACTGAAATGTGTGCAACCCCGCTGACGGCTATATAGTTATCTGCGCCAGCTCCGGCGTCATCACCAATGTCATCCATAGATCGGCTTTCAACGTCAACCAGAACACTGATACCTGTGAAATAGCCGGCATGTTATTTGATCTCGTGCCTTTCGAGAGAAGTGTTGTGATAGTAACACTGTATGCAAGTAGCGGTATACCCTGTCACTCCTTCCGTCTAGGCTACATTCTCTCTGCTTGCAGATTCCTATTCTAATCAGAAGTACTTGGCACATGTCTGTCCAAAGTTAATGAATAAAATCATCCTTCGGTGATGAAGGCACTACGTCGCATTTATAACTGATGTTACCAATCGTTCAGTCCTCTGTATTCTAGGCTCCCGGAATGTGGCCGTGTTCCTCACGATCGCTATCACAAAAATGATGACCTTCTATGACAACTTTCACAGGCATCAGGGGTTCTCTGGGTCCATTCATCAATCAGTGGACCTCCACTACGGAGAAACATGTTGTAGAGAGGCGATTTTGATCTAAGTCCTTCTCAGGTATAGAATAAGAGGACCTGGACATCAATGTACCTAGCGACCGTAGTTCCGTCGGAGGGCTCTCATAAAAGGAGATGCTTTTGACGATAAATGTAACTACAACTCTTCTCTCCAACCACCTGCAATGTCTCTTACCAATCACATACTCAACAACAACGCCCCTCTCATTTATGCGTATCAGGGAGAAATCACGCTGAGTGTACGGTCATCTTATTGCTTATGCGTATTTACTATAACATCCTTTCATATGCAAATAGTATATTGAAGGTAAGATTGCGTGAAGGTACGACATTGAACATCATGTTGACAGCTGACACCAACAGTTGCAGCATTGACCATCCTTGTGAGTGTTGCTCTCACTTTGAGTAGCTGTCAAGCCGATGAGCCACTAGATTTATGACTTCATGCTGACTATCGAACAAGAAGTCAAATATTTAAACCACCGTATCAATGTCACCCGATACTGAGAATGGCGCTGTAGATACACTGGGTCATTGGCAGCCGATGGAGGCTACCGCGATTTGTATTCACTGTTGCAAGATATACTTCGTTTCCTACGCTTGTAGTGACACTAGGTAAGCTCAGATAAGGCATTACCCTCTCGCCGGTCCCTTCCAACATGTGTTAGGCACAGTCAAAATCAGCGCCTTGAAACAGAACGATGTGAGAGCGCTTCTTTATCCATGCATAGGCAAACCTTGTAGCTAAAATAGCTGCTTCAGTGTATGTACACCCGTGCCATAACAGATGGTGCGCATGACTTCTATGTGATGCCTGAGTCCAATAATCCCGAACCTAAATACATTCGAATAGCCTTGTATCCTGTGTATATTGCAAGTGCCGAGAGTAGGTCGAGTCGCTTTGTGAGTTGTAAAATGGGCATTTGTTTGATATCTGTTTGTAGTTCTTCTCGCGTTGAGGATATGGGCTTCCTGGAACCGGAGTCATAAGATCTTCATGGTTTTGTGTGGCGCTGCTGTTGTGAGCTTTATATTATTATTATTTTCGGTTCATTTTGAAACTTTTAATTCATGACAGGGGTTATCTATCGCTATGATTATATTCTGTGTTCACCTAGGCTCTGAGCTTCCGAAGCCATTGGATCAGTCAATTTACATGGGGGGTATATATTTCTCCTCTGTCCTCAATTCTACATCTCACGAAGTGACATTTGTCACAATTTTCAGGAACACCTAGTTGTGCGCTTGAATTACCGCTAAGGGTTGCGATTGAGTACGGCTTTTTGATGGCCTATGAACTCAGTAAGCGCTTGATTACTGGTGCTTTACAGATCTAAGCTTTGGTTCCAACGGGAAAGTTCTATTTGGCTTGACCACGTACAGGTGGTATCAGTTCCACTCGACTAGGTCTCGGTTTGTTCGTTTAGCATACAGGGACGCACTGGTTTACCTGATGTTTATGATGGGTACGTACCATCGGCTTCTATCCAAAGCACTCCTGCTAAGTGAGGAATCGAGTGTGTTCCGCTGGTAATATTGCACAGATAACGACTGCTCCCGTAAGTCTAGACTACTTCTCGTTTAGGAATCTTTTGGCTTACTTGAGAGTTCCTAGATGTATCGGACTGCATATTTCAACAGGTCCGCTTGTTTAATCACAGAGGGTTGAACACTTACACTAACTTGCTCGTCTTATGAAGCCTTCAGGTAGTTGTCCACAGCATTTTCAGTACCAGAATATGGTTCCGCCTACGTGCATGTGCAGCAGAAGGATACCAGAGCATCCCTCTTATGAGCATTGACACGACTCATGTTGCGCGTAGGTAACATTTACCCTTGTCCTAGAAATTTCGATTCAAATCATGAACACAGGTCCGAGGGACGTGTAAAATTTGACAAATCCCGTGTGGCTGTTGAATAAGCCCAAATTACAAATATACCGTCTCAAGCCTCACAAATCCAATCCAGCGAACAGTGTCCTTACACGTATCTGATAGTAGCATCATCACCGACAGTAACAAAGGTAAGAACCTGGCCGTTCTGCTCAATGTCGATGTCGGTAGCATCAGCGGGCGTCTGCGTGTGATAATAATGTGCCCTCCAGTTCATGTGTTCCATTCTTAGGCTAATGGAACTCAGTTGAAGTGTGAGAAGGTGATCGGCTCAAGGATTTGTGCCGAAGTTCCAGGATGCTTCTTCCACCAGTGAGCTTCTTAGGGTTCACACATGTGGACACGAGGCTACATTATGGTGTCCAATTAGAAGGCCGATTCTATATGTTGTTAACGGCTACACACAGCTAAAACTAGACTCCTAAACGACGACATAACAACAGCGCTCTCATGTAGTGATGTCTCGCAGAATCCCCTGCCAGAAGCAAGTACATATTTCCATTTATGCTCAAACGTTATGAATTAAGTACGAAATCCGGTCACACACAGCTCCATACACTAAAACGTGGATATCCGACCATAAGGCCAAATTATCCGATAGAAGCTATAGGCCCTTTGACCAAGCCATCAGTCACATCTTCGGGCCCAACCTCCCTTTCATCTTGACTTGTGTTCCAGATGCGACGAGTTTACGATTGGTGACATCCCAAACCTAAGGTTGTGTTCAGCAAGCTGAAGAACAAACATACTCCAATTCACCTCCGCCCGACAACTAAACGTCCGATCACCAATCGCCGTACTCCACCCAACGATTCTTAGAGTTGAATCGCTGGAAACGTCAGCGCGATGAAGCAATTAGATAGGTGGCGAGAAGGCGCACACGGAAGCAGTTGAGTGATATATCGTGTTGACATTCTTCGACAAGCCGGGGTCACCGTTCGCTGTCTTGTCGATGTTCATTGCAATGATGGGAAGCGTTGAAATTCTGTTGGTGCTCATATAAGAACTCATTTGCTGATTTGTACTTCCACAAGAGCGCACGTGTCAATAAGAAATATGATGCACCCTTCGTGGAGCATGCCAGAGTCATTGACCATGTCTGCGACGGAGGACGTATGGTGAATCCTCTAGTTTCCGAAGGATAAACCTCAGGACATGATGCACGCACCCCCAGAAACAGTCACATCAGTAACAACTTTCGCCTCTGTCCTGGATGGTTCTTCGCTGTTTTCCTGTATTGAGACTTCTACAAGCCTACACTGCTTCCCGGTCGACGCGGCATAGCCGTTATTCATGAATACATGGTGCCATTGGGCAACCGCCTCTGTATTTGATTGAAGTTGGAAGAACAAGTTACAGTCAGTATCGCTATGGTCGGCTCAAATATGTGTCCAAGCTGGGTGAGACGTGATTCCCTGTCTGACTCGCCTTTGATCTCGTCAGAAGTGTTGCCGCATATATTCCCTGGAGTATGTGGTTCGTATGTCTCCAGAAGAGCCTCGCTGAGGCACGGTGTAATCGATACTCCAGGCCGCATGTCCACTGGGGTGATGAGCGTGCTAAAGGGACCGGAAGCAATAGCTTGTGATATCGCATGGCAGCAACGTCGATGGGACAATAATAGACTTCATCTTCAATATCCGGACGGAAAATTTTGACAAGTAACAACTTGGAGGATAAACAGCTTAGAGCAATCAATATTATCATTTGCAAGGAACAAATGCAGCCCTGCGCTCCTACTGTCCCTCATCGATCATCCGCCAGCAAGCCCCCGATGCAATATTCGAGATTTATGACTGTTCCGCCCCGCCCGCGCCAACTCGGGTCATCCGCAGGTAGCTTGAAACACTACGCCACTTTTATGACTAAGTAGATCGCGAATAGGTCGTATACTCCGGCTCCATTCGATATTTTGGTCGTGTGCACAACAAATGAACTCACTCCCTCAGGCACCGATACAAAATACATGCAGCAGTACTATCCAGCCTCTTCGGATACTAAGATGGACATTGAATGGTAGTGAATTACTCATGAGTACTAAGCCCGTTCTGGAAACGCTATGTTGTTGCGAGGCCCCTTTGATGAATAGGATAGGTTGATCTGTTGATCAGGTTCCTAAGAATACCACTGATCCGTCGGATGGCCATCCCATAAATTGAGGAGGTTTGCGGAGGCGGCCATGACTTGCACCCTCAAGACGTCTTCTACTTAGGTTTATGCATGACTATTTTTCAAGCCCAAACCAGCCTTTTATTGAAGAGCTCCAAGGGGAGACGACGTTGAGCGTACGTGGTGTTCATGTCGTTGTGTGGCTTCACTGTTGAAGACCCATCCCCATTTTGAGTATATAATAGGTAGGGGAAATTCATTTTCATCAGAATTACACGAGGGAAATTCGAGTTGACCATCTGCGGAAAACAGTAGCAGCGCTAACCGTTCTAGTGAGTGCAATACCTAGCCCTTTGAATGTAGAATTGATGTAAGGTCAGGTGTACGATTTCACACTGACAATCAAACAAGAAGTCAAGTAATATGGTTCTATCTCCATGCACTTTGATTGATCGGCATTCTAGATCCGCTGGCTCGTGGGTAGTCAATGGGGAATAGCGCGTGTAATCTTCACTATCGCAAGGTATACTTCGTTTCCCGCCCTTGCGTTGACTTTAGGTATGCTCTCATAATTATTTTACTCCACTGTTGTCTCTTCACAGTTGATATGATAGGCACAGTAAAGGCCAGCACCCTAAAAAATAACGACGTTAGAGCTGTTTGCTTCATTACATTCACATAAAAGCTGAATGAGATGCATCCAGTGTTCATCGGGCCGGGCCGCGACGGATGGTAAGTTCTATCCGAAAGAAAGTCTATCCCCTACTACTGGTTACTGACGTGATAAATCTAAATAGTCCTATATCCTGTGTGCATTGCAAGCACCGAAGGTACGTTCATCAGCCACATTTTTCTGCTAATATTGTAATGTGAGGGATGTTGTTAGTTCTACTCGCGTTCAGAGTATGGGCTTCCTGGAATCGGAGTCGTAAGGTTCTCATTATCCTGTGCGGATCCGCTGTAGTGAGTAAACTTTTCAATGACATTGAACGGGGGTTTTCCTCAAATAATATCAGGTGCTACCTGCTGGAATGGCTGCAGCGTGCGTTTATCTGGGCTCAGAACTTCCAAACGCATCAGCTCAGTCAATGTACCTGGGAGGTATTGATTTTATATCCTTGACGTCAACGTTGATCAATGTCACTGATGATCGATTTTCAGGCAAACTTAACTGTGCGCTTGATTTGCCGCTACGAGTTGCTGTTGAGTATGGTTTCTTGATGGGTTATGAGCTCAGTGAGTAATAATTTGCGTATATGTCGCGCTAATCGAACAATTTATCATTATCGGTAAAGTTCTTTTCTGCTTGACCGCATACAGATGGCATAGCCAGTGTCACGTCACCAACACGCGACTTATTCGTTTAGCATACAGAGATGCGCTGATTTACTTGGTGTGCATGATGTGTAGGTATCGTTGCCTTCTCCATGAACTCTAACGATGCTGATGAACGTCCGTATTGAGTATGCTCTGCCGTCAATATCGCACAGATCATGACCGCAACAGTAAGCTCATGAAACCCTCCACGCGACACTAAGGTTAATTTGGGCGCTAGATTTATCGCACTGCATACTTTAACAGGTTCATTCATTTATGACTGGGATTGATGAGTCACTCACACATTGTTTGTGAAGCTCTCAGATAGTCGTCCATAGCGTTCTGAGTACCCGTATATGGTTTCGCCTACATGAATGCGCCGCTCAAGGATATCAAAGTGTCCCTTCAATATCCCTTTCAACGTTCCATGCAAGTCGTATGTCATGGCTTATATCTGTTTGCTGAGTACACGACTCAATAACGCATGCAGGTCCGAGGGATGCGTAGAAAGTTACGAAAGCCATGCACCTAGTAAATGAACTCAGCTTATATACAGACTCTCCTACGCTGTACAAAAAACGCCCGGAGAAATACTAGACGTATTTGATAGTAACGTCATCACCAACAGTAACGGAGGTAAGAACCTGGCCGTTCTGCTCAATGTCGATGGCGGTAGCATCGGCGGGGGTCTGCGTGCCGTCGGCCGTGGTAGCATACGCGTCGGTGAACGTGACCGTGCCGAAGTCGGCGAACTGGACGAGCGAGCCGTTCTCCTCAAAGTCCTCCACAATCCACTCCGCGTTCTCCTCGCAGAGCGCAGACGTGGACGTGATATCCTGCGTCACGGTCTGGCCGTTCGAGGTGTTCTCGATGACGGCGGTGCCGGAGGTGGTCGAAGTCGCGGTGACCGTTAGCTTGATGACATCTCCAGAGGCGATGTCGATACCATCGAAGTCGTAAGCGTAGTCGGGGTACCATTCGTACCAGGCTAACAAGGGCAGACGTATCAAACTTTAGACAATTTTCAGGGCATTAATGGGATATACTGACCATCGTAGGAGACCTCACCGCCATCAGAGGTAAAATCAACGCCAGTCTGGAGAATAGCTGTCTCGCAAGTGTCTCCGTCGATGCCGACCCATGCTGACGCAGCACCGTCTCCCGAGGGCGTGGGCACGGTGAAGGTACCGGTCACAGCTGTGTATGTGCCCTATCGCAGCGCGATTAGCATTAGCGTCAGTCCAGGATGGCAAGTAAGAGAATTCACATCGCCCTCAGCATAGACAGCACCAGCCCAGTTCTCGCTGTACTCGGCATTCACGATGCGCCGAGAAGGCTGCGACTGGCGACTCTCGCGGCGACGAGCGAGGCGGGACCCCAAGCGGGACGACGGAACCGCAAGCACGGCCGAGGCGAGGAGAAGGTTGGTGAGCAGAGCGACCTTGAACATGCTGATCTTGACTAGAAAGTGAGCAGGTTTCGAGACTGAGCCTGGTTTGTCCCAACGCGTTCCACTCGCCTTTTATCTTCCCCTCGATCCCCGAATACACCGTGCTGTGGGATGGAAGGGCTTGCGTGTGGTCCCCGCGCGCTGGAAATTTCTGATCGCGCCAGATCCGTGCCTCTGGCGAGATATGCCCGACCACAAGGTCGAAGGAGTTATAAACGCTTATCTCACAGGTCGTGCTGGAGGGAAGCATCGAGTGATATGTTCTTCCATAGTTCCATTCATTCAACGGCCTTGGCCTCGAGCTGTGAAGGCTGTTTTTAGCTCCCAACAGTTCGAGTAATAGTTTCTGATATCACCAGAAACCACTAATTTCTCCATCAAGGGGTAGTTTAGGTCATGGTCTTGAGTCTCCTCATTTCATCGATATCCGGGCTTGCAACGCCACGATGGCTACGAGTGTGTCGACACCTCGAGATCAAACTTCTACCCCCTGAGCCAAGTACGGAGAAAGTGGAGCCCCAAGGCACAACACTCAGACTTTCGCCACGCAAACGATTTCCCGCAGCGGCTAACAATAGGCTGCCGTAACGCTCTTGGCGATACAGGCACCCGTGCCGATGGCTCTTTGTCGATAAGCGTATTTTTGTCCTGAAAAACGCACAGAGTATCAGATTCTTCAAGTAACAGCATGGCCGGGAGCGCATGTTTGCATACGTCTGGAACTGGGACAAGAATGAAGAAAAATCAGAGCGTTGCACCAGGCGTAAAGCACGTTGTTCGAGTACATGTTCCGTGCCCTGGCCTAGACCACGGCATTTCGGACAGTCTTAGCTGGGACTGGGTACTGAATAGCTGTCGCAAGCAATTTTTATTAGCTTGAGTAAAGCTCAGCAAATGTTGAAGGAACGCATGCGCTGCATTACTTCTTTTTTTGGCCATCGCATCCTTCCATCCCCGCATCGCCTACCCGCTTTTACACCCCACGCACCCTCCTAGGGCAGCTCAAGCCTGCCCTCTCCGCATCAGATTCCGCCTCACCCGCCTCCTCTCCCCACCCACACCCTCTCCCCTTCCCCACTTCAGGAACGGCACCCTGCCCCGCTCCACGCCCGCCACACCGCCCTCCGCCTCGCGGAAGTCGAGCATGCCCCACACGGGCAGCTCGAGCTCGCCCTTGACGAGCACGCGCGGTGCTGTGTCTTGGAGCACATACCCGCCGACACTGCCGACACTGGTGCCAGAGGGCGTGCGGGGAGGGACGGGCGTGAGAATGTGCATAACGGGCGCGTTCGGCGCCACGGCCCGGACGAGCGCCAGCCCAGTACAGGTAGAGGACGCCGGGTCGGGGGGCGCGCCGCCTTGGGTGTAGGGCACAGCTGGGTAGCTTCGAGCCGGTGAACCTTTTTCGTGGTCATCGCCCTGGCCTGAGACATTGTCGGTGAGTGCATCGAGGGAGCCAGCTTCGCACGCAACAAGGCCAACTATCGCGCCGTTCATGACGCGTTCGATCTCGCGCGGTACAACGTCCTCGCTCCCTGCACCAGTGAGCACGACACGGTCGACAGCCTGTACCCAGTCGACCGCGTACGGAGGGACCGCGCAGAGCGGGAGTGTTGTCTGCCATGTCTGCGCTGTGACCTGCCTGAGCGCCGCAGACGAAGACGACGGCGGGAAGACGGCGTGGAAGTACGAGAGCAGCGCGAGATTGCGCTGCTCAACTGCATTGTAGAACGCAGCTGAGGCGTCGCCAGAGACAGGCGTGATCATGTGCACACGGGGTCCGCGTTGGTTGTGGCTGTTGCCCCACGCTGGACCCGCTGGACCGACGAAGCCGAAGGTCCCGAGGGCGGCGCTATCGTGATACATGCCTGACTGCGAGTCGAACGCGGGCGCCGAAGGCGTATCCTCGCCAGCGTCGCCGACGACGCAGACTTCGGTGGGACCTACGATGTCCTCGACAGCGTGGTTCAGCATAGCTCCGAGGCCTTTTGTCCAGCCCATGGTGTTCACCACGAGTGGAATCGCAGAAAGGCGCCCGCTGCCGTCGCCTGTCTCGTCGATGTATGCCAGCCTGACGTCGTGCATATAAGCCTCGACGAGGCTTCGGATAGCGGAGACGTAGTGAGAGGGGGAGGAGCGTGGCGAAGTGGAGCCGATGTAGTGAGCGCGATAAGGCAGGGATGGGTGGGTAAAAGGTGGTCCTGGCCAAGTAGATGTTTAATACATTGCCATGAAATGGAAATACAAAGTTGACGGTCTCACCAAGAAGGGGCTGCTCGACGATGTTCAAAGCTACCATACCACATGGGCTGAACTCGCTCTGCCCGAGGTCGCACTCCAAGAACGCGACTCGACGATAGCTGCTCGACGATATAAGACCTTCATAAGGACGCGTTGGGGTTATCCTTACCTTCCAAACAAGCGGTTGACAGTAGTTCTTGCAAACGTGCTCTTACCAGACTTCTTTGCACCACGTACCAAAATGACCGGCGTATTGTCGGGGTCGGGATCGCCGCTAACATGTCCGCCATCGGCATCCATCGCGTCGGTTGGGCCCGTATCAGGGCAGATGGACGCCAACGAGTGCTCCCATGAAGGCGGGAGCACCAGTGGCTGGACGTCGCGTGAAGGCTCGGGAACCTTGATGGCAACTAGCGTGAGCATGATAAACGAGGGCAGCTGACGCGACATACAATCCAAGTACCGGTGCTCCCTACCTCCTGCCACCTTTCCATTCTTCGAGGTGCAAAGAACCCGTCAAAGACGCGACATACGCGACCTAGCCCCTCAACGCCGGTATCCAATCTGCGTATGAGGATCACCGCTCCAAGGGCGCCACCGCGGCTTGCAACGATGCTCTGAACGCGGTCAGGCAGTTTTGAGAGATGATTCTCGTGAGAAGCAGTATCATGAGGCGGCAGGGCGGTGATGGAAGGTATCGGAGCGGAGCGAGGCGCAAAGACGTTCTGGCTGCCTGATGTTGGTGAAAGCCGACTTCCTGCGATGGTGACATGCCCAGCGAGGATAATGAGGTTGTAGGTGCCAAGGAGCGAGAGTGTTTCGTCTGGGCGTAGCAGCAGAGCCGCTGCAGGCGCTTTCGAGTGGATGGCAGAGGGTAAATGAAGAAACGCGTCGGCTTCGTCGGGAGAAAGGGCGAACGCGTTCTGCGAAGGCGAGTATACGTAGGTCGACATCCGTCCGTCAACTTCCTCCTTCGCCTGCTGCCTCCTATATCCTACCACCGGTTCCTCCTTCACACCCTCGTCCCCATCTGACAGTGAAGAAGACGAAGGTGACGACCGCAGCGGGCGACTCGGCGACCACGCCCGCTGCTTCGTCTCCGCTACGCGATCTCCTGCGTCTAGGGTTTCCGGACCCAGCTCCTGCTCTGCCTCCATCATCATCTCGTCCTCGTCTTCCTCCTCGTCGGATGGAACGACTATGACATCTTGCTGCGTCACGAATCCGTCCGTGTTGACAAGAATGGGTGCACTCCTTGTATCTCGAGAGGCGTTGCTGCTGCGATGCGAGATTTTCTTGCGCTTTTCAGAGGTCGAAGACAAAGGCTCGCGAGAACGTTTCGAGGGTGGTTTTGCGCTCGCCGGGCTCTTGGTGGAAGGTTTGGATTGTTTTGCGGGAGTCGGCGATGCGGGTGGATCGCGTGACTCTTGGACCGAGTGTAGGTCACTAAAGCTTGTGCTCTTGGCTGCTTTTCGTGCTGCAAACGCGCTTAGCATGAGAATGTAAGGCTGCAATGTTACCAGGACTGCGCCTGTATTGAGATACCGGAGAGACCAGGGCGAGGTTGACGCGGTCGCTGGAAACGATTTCTTCCAAACACGGGATTTAAGCCCCTATCTATCTTGTAAAATGCATCGCCCGTATTACTAGCAATTAATATCCAAGTTACAGCGTTATCGACATATATATGGCGAGTGACAATATGAATATTGTAGCCATGATTATAAACTTTTTACTCGAATCTACAATCAATCTTCCAAACCCTTCAATGATCCCAGTACGTCCGAGTATGCAGATTTCTAGAATAAATACCTTTTAAAAAACTTCTGAAATGTATCCTCGAGCGCAAGGGGGACGATTCGGATTCTGTTTGGCCTTGGCTTGGCTTGGAATAGCTTTTCGACCCTTGTATGTTCTTTATATGGACCTCTAGCACTGTGCTAGTTACTGCTGCGATGAAGCACTCCAACGAGCCACAGCTGGATGCTATATAACCGGTGTTCTCGTCATCTCATTTGTTATCTGTGATACAGCAGTATTGGTTAGCTGAGACAGATCGAAAGGGTATCCTGTACAATGGTGACGTAGGTCACCGTTACTGTTGCCAAGGCGCGGTTACATGAAACCATCCGAGGATTCATACCTGAACCTGATTTGAAAACACTCGAATTTTCCTCTCAGAGAAGTCTCTTAATTTACATGCTCGTGCTGGAGACACCGCCGCTACCAATCAAATAGATCCCACATGAAGTATCGTAGTAACCTGGCTGAGAGAAGAGTGGCATCAGAATGTATTCGCTACCACTGACAGTATTCCAGGGTCTACAGTGATCTTTGGATGCTCGGTTACGGTGCTGTGCTAAGAAAACATCGCTTAATTGATATCATGATGTTCTTGGACACACATTCCTAGAAGTACTCGTGGCTGTGTCTGTCCTTTCATCAGTATATATCAACCCGTATTTCGTAAAATAGTCTACAGTACACCCCATCTCCCTTCGTAGCCAGCTCGCAATGTCTAGCGGTGAGATATATCAGGAGCTTGTATTGTCGGCAGAAGAGTCATTGGCGATAGAATACACGTTCAGTAAGTCTTGCTTAGTAATATCTACATTTAATGAAAGCATACAAACATTTTCCGATTAGCTGCTGCGTTAGCCATGGCCGTCTACGACTACGGTTCGTATGATGATAGATATTCATGGATCACGCCCAGCTGAGCTTATAATATGATTCAAGCGCTCAACCTTCCGCTTGAGGTAAGTTGTACACTCCGCTATCAGGCTGATGATCATTCTTAAGTATCATTTGTTAGGTTGATTTAATATGGGTAAAGGACACGTCGATTGTACTTACTCTTGTGCTTACCCGGTCCTTGTAGAACAAGAAACTCACACTGACAAGTCTAGTATATGCATTGGTAGGGTCACACTCATTCATAATTGGATGAAAGCCGCTAAGTACATCATACCGTGCAATTTAGATGCGTTACATGGGTTTTGTTTTTCCTGTGTAAATGAAGCCTGTTGAAAATCGTTCGAAAATCAAGCTGAAATTGACGTCCATAGATTACAGCTTGGTTTGTATATTACTTTGATCGATGATATACTATGCACTGATTTCACTACAGTATGGAACCTCACCATCCCACTGTCTAATCAAGTGAGCAACATTCAGGTTTGACTATGAATCGTTCTCTTATGGTTCGCTGTTTGTTTGTTTCATAGACGTGCGTCTCGCGAACAGGTCCCATATTTGTGATCACTGACCCGAGTGACTCTACTCCTACAGATGCAAGCGCAATCACTTCCTGAAACGCCATGATGAATCTGATGGAGTCTTTTTTCCAGGCTTCGCTCTCTGGACACTCTCTCAATTAGTCACCACCATTATCATGTTTCTATTGCAAGGTAGCCTTGTTATTATGCGATGGCGGCGTTCTCGCATACTAACAGTGTATTCTTACCAAGGAATGCTGAGCCTACGGATATATGTACTCTTTGGGAGGCCCAAAAGTCTCTTAATCGCACTCCTCACCTGCTTTGCAGCTACCCAAGCCTTCAATGTGTCCATAATATGCCATTTAATTGCAGTGGGGTACCATGTAAACGGTATGTCATACATTAAGATGTGTACTCTGGCGCAAGTAAAACTGACTGAGTGACTTTCTCGGATAAAGTGGAAATCGATTTCTTCGGATTTAACAGCTGTAACCTTGAGCTTCCTCCATCCATTATGTGGAGCACTCCAGCCACGTGCGCAATTTTACTAGCCTACGAACTCTTCCTTTGTGGGCTTGTGTTACGGTATGCAATCGCAAATCTTCATATTCCTCTCTGGAAAATTCGAGGACCGCCAGCTTTAACTGTCATGCATATTATTGTTCACAACAATCTGATTTATTTCTTTATGTGGGTTCTCAGTTTGTTGGATTAGCTTTTTTGCTTACATACTTTACAGTGTGTTTTTTGCGATGCTATTTAATTCTGTGTCGCAACTTCTACCCGACAGCGCGGTGAGCAAAATATGTCGGTATTTCGTGTCTTTACACTGGTGCTCAAGTAATCATCACCTAGGCACTCGTTCTCACCTGCATAAGTGGTGTACTTCAAACAGTAGTGATCAACATGATTGGTCCATGGATGATACTCAACCTTCGAAGCAGCTGTAAGTAAAATAATAACAGCATATTCTCTAACGTCGTGTATAGACTGACTCAATTAGACTTTATAAACCTGGATTTGACACAAAGTGTTATAACCGCCTAAACTACCCCTCAGCTCGAGCTTGTTGTAATAAACACGCCTGTTATCATCTTGAAGGAAATGTGATCGGGTACGGAATGAAATAGACTGCTATACATCGTCGTTTTTTTTCTTGTAACCAGCGACTATTGTAATGCCATAAAAATCCTAACGAAAGTCTGGAAGATATTAACGGCCTGTTATATCGTTGTTTTGTGCACCATTATACTATACATGTGACGAAAACTGTTTGAAACATCTGTATATGAAGTAGCGAGCGCTATGTATCAAACACTCAGCTAGAACGCGTAGTAGTTGGCAAATAATAAACCGAAAGAGAATTTTTAAAATCTAAAAGTAATCGTCGGAGACAGCAGAGCAAATACGCAATAATTATGCGTTAAAACGAGCTGCAATTTTTACTAACTTCCAACGGGCTTTGGCTGCGAACATATGAGTGAAACTTAGAAATTACAAAGAAATTACAACCAAGAGGGTGATGCTATAGATCGATGAGTCCGCCGAGCCGCGCTGAGCAAATTTAAGTTAGAGCTCCGACGGAGATTCCCGCGTTGGCGACGTTCGCCAGCCCCTTACGATGGCGCGTGTGCATGTGCATGGACGTTTGAAATTTACCACTCGTGAACTGCGGGATGCACCGAAGTCGAGAGTCGGTCATTACAGACTTCATCCAGTGCACACTCGCGTGCTCTCTGCCCGCCGGCTTTCTGACGTACGCTGCCTCGGATCTGAACTGGTGGCCGACTTGCGTGTTCATGATTGCCATCCACTTTACGGAATGTTCTCCGCCAGACTATGCACAACCAAGTACGTACCATCAATCTGACTCCACGAGTTTCCCGATGATATCGAGTCCGAGCGTCGCTTCCTTGTCTGCCGGTACCGCGACTAGCGTGTTTCCCGTGATGGGAACAGATGCTCCGTTCAGCGCTGATCACCATGGTCATCGCATTGGCGCATCCATACTTCGTGTCCTATTGGTGAGTTTCAGGACAATCCTGATTGTATGTTTCATAACATCCAACTATAGCCCACTGATGTCGTGTCTTGCCTTCGAACACTGTTGGCGGTGCTAGTGGGCGCCAACATGCTGGCTCCTGCGACACAACTTCGGCATCGGCTACTTTGTCTTTAGAATCCATGCGCTGGAAAGATGGATCTCTACTTGCGTTTCATACGATAATTCTGGAGCACCAATATTAGCAACGTCGCGGGTTCTCTGGGACAGCAGGGCTAGCAATCCTCATTAACGAAGTTACAAAGTAGGATGTCGAGTCTCCGTTACCGCTGCGCTGGCAAACTATTTCTTGGGCTGGAACGGGGCGTTCTTGGGCGCCGACCCAGCGACGCGTTCGGAACCAGTCAGTACCGTGGCCAATGTTCGTTTCATCGTCTCATTGTGGCCAGCGAAGGACATCGAGGAAAGTAGCGCCCGAATACTTATAAAAGGGCCTCTCTTCGACGCTATTTTCCATAACCAACTGTTCTCTTATCCTCGCTTCCTGCTAAAAATCACCCTCCTTTCTTACACTCACCCGGCGCACTCTGTCTACTAAACACCAACTCTCACTCTAATAATAATCGCCATGTTCTTCTCCAAAGCCCTCGTTTTTGCCACTCTCGCTGTTGCAGGCGCCAGCGCAGCTGTTATTGAGAAGCGTCAGAGCTACCTCACTGGTACTCAGACGGGTGAAGGTGCGTCTCAACCTCACCTTACCTCATATCATGTACTGACTACAATATCCAAGGTACTTCCTACGCCGTCGGCACCGGCGCATGCGGCGTTCACAACGTCCCCAGCGACCTCATCGTCGCCGTCTCCCAGCAGCTCTTCGACACCTACCCCGGCTACAAGGGCGGAAACCCGAACAACAACCCCGTCTGCGGGAAGAAGATCAAGGCAAACTGTAAGTCACCTACTCTTCGCCTATGCATTAAAATAAATCACGGCATGTCTGACCACCATTGTTCTCGCATATCATAGACCAAGGAAAGAGTGTCACCGTCACAGTTGAGGATCGCTGCACCGGGTGCGCGCTGACCGATCTCGACTTCTCCACCGGCGCGTTCGAGCAGCTCGCTCCCCTGTCTGTTGGAAGGCTCCACGGCATGACCTGGACCTGGGTTTAAACTGGTTTCCTGTGTGGCTGAGGCTTCACTCGCGAAGAAAGTTCGGATGGGCTACGATGTCTTTTCTTAACATTTATTCTAACTTATCGTATCTATACCCCCTGCTGTTGTTCAGCAGGTATCCACGTTTATTAACAATGTCTATCAGCGCGTCTACTTGAACAAATCTGACGCGTTGGTACAACCGTAACATAGAATTAGGTCGGAATGCAGAACATTTATGTCCAAATTAGGTGTCGCGCTAACGACCGCTAAGGCCTGGGTTTCGCTAGTGACGTATCAAGTGCTTTTGATAGGTTCAATTGAACCTCATAATACTACATCAAGCCTCGGAAGAAGGTTCAAAGTAAGGTGGCGCATCATCAGCATCCAATTATACTAACTTTCGGTTGTATACAACAAACACCACTAGTTCAATATCGCAAACTCTGAGATTGATGCTCTGAGGATTTACGGCGACGTGACTGGTTAAAAGCCTACCCAAGCCTTTTTCTAACAGCTAATGGGACGTTGCAACGATCATCCGAGTCAGGCATGACTTCTTGTTCGGGGAGGAAGTGCACGATCTTCCGATCATCTTACCCATCGAGATGATAGGCCACTGTATCACAGCCCACGATCGTCAGGTCATCGGTCGACATAAGCGCCACTGCACAAACCTGAGCCTTATACCATGGACGTCTCCGGGCCTCAACAGGTCTGAGAGCTTGAAAAGCCTCGAGACCATCCTGATTCATATGGAGCCGGGCTGAATATGGTCATTCATGTTAGTCCATGATGGTCTGCAGGACGACGGATGACTAAAGGGAGGGCGTTGGGGAAATCAAGCGGAGTCATCAGAAGAGCCAGATACCACATTGGCTTTGTTTTCTACACCAGCGGCTGCGCTCGTTATATCTAATGATATCGGTGATATACGGCACATAAATATTACTGCTCCGCATAATTCATGCAGAATCTACTTCAATGCCCTGGGACCAATCAGAATGGTTCCGTTATAAACGTTTAAACATTGATGCTGACACAATTCACGCGCACGTAGGCTACGTTATCATCCCCTAGATCTACACACTGCGACTACCACTACTACATACCACCATCATCATACTCCCGCTCCAAGTTGTCGCCACAAGGGGTGTGATTCTGATATGCCTCGATTAGGCTGCTAAGAGTATTCAATATCTTGTGTATTGAGTGCTCTTAGCAGTACGATTTGATTTACTATTTCAGGTTTCAAAACGCGCGCTGTTATATGATGGGCTGCCAAGAGTGTTCACTGATATCTTCTCGCTGCAACTACCACCACCAACTTGCTTCTGCTTGTCGTCGCAAGGATAGAAATCCATCTGCCTGGGTTAGGTTGCTAAGGGTGCTTAATACTTTGTGTACTGTGTGCTCTTAGCAACCCGACTTGACAATGTTTACTAGTTTACTATCTCAGGCTGTTTCAAAATGCACGCTGTTACATGATGGGCTGCCAAGAGTGTTAACTGATATGAGTAGTATGAATGCTCTTAGCAATCCGACTTCACAAATTGAGGCAATTTCATTGAACGGAAGGCATCGAAACCGCCGAGAGACATCTAATCCAAGATTTAATCAGCTATGTACGAACTATGTATCGTCTGCCATTAATCGTCAGGTCACCTCGTATCATCTTCTCCATTTTCCACAAACCTAAGAGTATTCAAAATCTTGAAACGCTGCTGCCGTTTCTGGAGGGCCTGAATAACCAAATCAAATCCGGTGCCATTGGCCATTACGGTCTCCTCCACCCACAAGTTCTGATCTTCGGTGAAGGGCAAACACTTGCGACTTTGTACCTTCCTAGAGCACTCAACTAATGCTCCACGAGGCTTGCATTGCTCGAGTACACCCAGAAGAGCTCGCTTTGAGGCTAACTGAACGGAGCCCTTCGGGGTATAGCCACTTACAATTGATATCGTTGACATTAATTGGTTGTGGCAGCGACCTACTACTTCTCTAATGATGCAATTGAAACTACCAAGGCCGTCCAGATTGTCTGCGAAAAAGGTGTGAAGACGTAGCACACACCTTTTCCTTCCGTCCATTCGAGCACCCTAGTAAAGTGCAACAGTTTATCGCCAACCTTGTTTACACAGTCGCCGCAACTTAGACTGTTGTGTAAGATGATCTTAATTCTCCTTGCCATCTAAGAAGAAGTTGAGAAGAAGACGACAAAACCTGTCGGAGCTTGAACCTTGAACAACAGCCGGCAGTTGCCGGATGCCTCCTGCTGCGCAGTTTTGCCAGTGTCCGAGACCATTGATCATCGATCAATGACAAGTTGGGTGACTCTACAAAGATACGAAGGTGACTCAAAACCGACCTCTTTCTCCGCAATATTGTGAGTAGCGATGACTGGACCTCTCCGCGCCTCATATTATCAATGTCTCCGTCTCAGTACGCCTTTCTTCACCTGCATATACTCTGCCATCGACTAAACGATTTAGCAAGTGACCTCAACGAACGACCGAAGGTGGATGGGAAGCTTCGGAAAAGGTTAGACCGTGACTGCTGATCAAGGAAGAGGTGAATAGTGACGTGTCTTAGTGTGTAAGGTAATCATAGAACAAATGCTAGTACCACCAGGTACTGGCGGTAGCTTGGAGGTGTTGACGGTGAGTGTATGCCTAGTTCTGAGCGATTTCGCGATATCTCATTTTTTCCACACTCTTCAGCGTTTGTAGGCCTACCTGCGTCTTGTCGTTTTGACATGAAGGCGACCACTGTCGACTTCATCGTGTCATCCGTTGTAGTTCCCTTGATCTGCTCGTAGATAGCCTGAGGCTAGAGCCTATCGTACTGGTGAGTTCGTCATCGTCAGTTTAAGTGTGTTGCTTCCGCACCGATGATCTCAACTTCGATCCCTGATACGTGGACTTATACCAGAGCAATCGCTGGGCTGTATACTTGGTACCGACACGAGCGATTCAAGTTCTCGCCGTCTTCGTGGTCTATATCTTCTAGTGCGCCAAAGCTCATCTTTTTACCGACGCCGATACATGTTCCTCTCGCCTCGCTTTCCCGACACGCGTGAAGATTATCATCGATTATCATCGATTATCGATATAGTATCATAAGGATGCGCATTCTTATCGATCTACTCTGACGTCTTGTCGATGGCGAGGCCTTAGTCTCGAACCAGCCGCTCCTTTAGGCGGAGCTTTTTCGGCCCTATGGGCAGCTCCGCAGGAGCGTCTGGAGACTTTTGATAGAGGCCTATACCGTCGTTACAACTTGTCACGCCTGTCAATTACTAAGCTCGGCAAAACAGAGAAATGTCAACATAACTCTCACGAATGTCAAACGATTGGCAGCGCGCGCAGCGCGATTAGATGTTCTCAGTGCAATTGAGGTTTCGAAATGATCATACCATGGACACTGGGGACGACTCCTTCGATTTCAACCCGCGTAGCTTTGATTTTGACTCGGATATTAGCCCATTCGATGGTATACAGTTCACGTACCAGCAACTGAATGCTGCCGACGACTCGGATGAAGACGACTCGGAGGACGAGCTGGGTGGATCAAAGCACTCGGAATCTCCTTTGTTTTTGCCTACGGTTAACACCGCCGACCTAGGCTCCTCGCTTGCGCAAAGGGCTGCAGCTTGTCTCTACTACATGGCATCACAAGGATTTGACCTGCCGGGCTTTCTGTCTTGCGTGAGCTGGGGAGATGCGGGATGCATTCAACACCCAGCTATTCGCGGTGCTCGGACCGCTCTCATGAACAGCGACAAGCTCCCTGGGATTCTCAAGAACTGGTGGATGCCAAATCGTCCAAGTGGCAGTACAAAGAAACGACCTCGTGCTGCTCGCGGGGTGATGGAGGCTTTTGGCTTTGAAGTTGTCACAGCTACCCTAGAGAAAGAACTCGAAGAGATTAGCGACATGACCCTTTGCCCATCTGACGAGCTTTCGGCTGATGGCCTCACCTCCTTCACAATTGACGAGTGGAAGGTTCGGCTGAGTAGTCCTGGCATAGGGGGCACACCTCGCCTCTGGTCTCTTCTCTATGGACTTTCTCGTACGCACCAACAAGAGAGCCGAGATGTTCAGAGACAACCGGACATGGTATGAAAGCTGATTTATGGGTGAACAATGACTGAACACTATGTTATACTAGATGGTTGTTGCAACAATCATGCAGATCATGTATTCCCGCTCCCAGAGTCATAACAAATGGCAGAAGATGTTGACGACACATCTACGATCACAGAATATTGGAGCAAAATCACTTGATCTGCTGCATAGTCTCGGTATTACCATGTCTCACAAGTGGATGTCTCGTGCTATCAAAACCATCTCCGAGAATACCTTAGCTGAAGTCCGAAAGCGTATCGAAGAAGGAGAGGACTTCACCATCACTCATGACAACTTGAACCTTGCATTCAAAGTGTTCAATCAGCGCATCAACAACCAGACTCACTTCGACAGTGGTACATCAGCTACGGCCTATTTCCAGCCAGATGCTCCGCCTCAGCTTCCTCCGCTGTCCAACCGCACTTTTCAAGAGTTTCGTCAAGAGGCACGAAGGCAGGGGCCTCTGTCCATCCAGGACATATTCAACCTTGACCGGGAGGCTGCTGCTCCACGCCGTCAACGAGATATGCATCGCATTTTGTCCTTCTTGTTCTCATCGACAGATTTTGAGTACAAGACTTACAGTGGACGCGAACATTCACTCTTATCAAAGCCGCCTCCGGTACAACAGCTATCTACAGGTCCTCAGTATCGCACCGAGAAGCAGATTCTAGGCACGGTTCACATTGAAGAGGCTAGTTATAAAGGCAATGAGAAGGTGATCGATCACTTTCTCCGCATCTTGGGCTTGGCAAACACCAACGAGAAGCAGCGACAGATGGGCATGGATAGAGTTATTGTATGGGGAGGGGATCAGCTGACAGCGGAACGCTTGCGCGGCCTTATCGCAAGGCATGCATGGGATGATAACTCTTTTGATCGCCTCGACTTCCTTGTTCCAGTCTTTGGATGGTTTCATAACTCTATGACATTTGCAGCTTCTTTGCACAAGCAGTATCTAGGTACATGTGCTGGCCGTGGTCTCCGTCACTCATTCACGATCCTCAACCGCAAAGGCCTCGACTCCGTAAAAACTCGAGGCTCATTTCACCAACAGCTTGACGAGGCCATTGTTCACATTACGGAGGCCAGGTTTTGGGACTGCTGGCGTGTCGTAACAGGTGTTGACGACCTGGCAGAGCTCCGGGATAAATCCCCGGAACGGCTATGCGAGTTTGCGGAAGAGATTCTTGATAAGCTGGCGTCGACCTCGGTGATAGAAGACTGGGACTTACGGGATGATGAAGATAAAGATGAGATCTTTCGCGAATCAGTTCTGTGGAACTGTGATGCGCTGCGGTACATTGATCTGCACACAGCAATTAAGGGTGGGGATGTGGGAGTCATGGAGGCGACGCTTCCGTACCTGCTATTTCGATATGCAGGTGGGGGGAATAGCCGATATGCTATTGAGATTCTGGAGCTGTTGCACTGCATTCATCGTGAATGGCCACCAGAGTTGAAGTGAGTGCTTACCTCATCCCACATGCGCTCCAACTAAATGAATACCACAGGGACTTTGTTCAGCGCCGAGCATGGCTAGTCAACCTTACCGGGCAGCCTGGAAAATGGCACCCGGTTGATCAGGCACAAGAGCATAACATCAAGGACCAAAAGGTTACGTACTCGATGGATGGACCAAGCGCGTCATGGGAGGGAATGAACAAGATTGGTCCTGCGGTGTCAACACTCGTCAAGGTACGTCGGCATATGGAAAAACAGATACGTACCTTAAGGCGAGGGGTCACACACTCCAAACCCTCGAAGACAGAAGACGTGAAGCGGCTGGAGAACACGTTCAGGTCGTCGCGAGTCAATGAGAATAAAGGAGGACGTACGGCCCCTACACCAAGCGATCGGGTCGTAGATGTTGTGGGAGAGGGCGCGATCCATTTGTTCCGGCGCAAGACAATAGCGAGATGGTGGGAGAACCGCAACCTGCGACGAAAAACGACAGAGATCTGGGATTAGATAGATGTGTAAACAATCAGTGAATATATCGGCTTACCAGCTGTAGTGTAATGCCGGGCCGTCGTCGATTCGACGAGGCGAAGTGGGAGGTGACCGGGTGCCAAGAGTGGGCCAGGGACGTTGGCAGGTGCGAGAGGAGGCATTGGCCATCGCCAATTCGACGAACCGAGAGGTGACCGGGCGTCAGCCCCGTCGGTTTGACAAGGCGCCAAGGAGGTGGGGGCTATCGTCGATTGGACGAGCAAAGGGGAGGTGAGCGGGTGACAGCCCCAGTTTTCAACAACGCAAGGCGCGTCCTTGGTTTTGACGATGCGGGGCTTGTGCACGGGGAGTCGGAGGGAGGACGTGAGAGCGGAGCGCCATCGTCGACTCGACAAGGTGAGAGGAGGTAGGGAGAGGCGAGGGGGTGGCTGCTCGCCGCAGCCGATGGTGGGTTGGGTTGGGTTGGGCCTTTAGCGCTTCAGCGTTGGAAACATTCGCGCAGCGCACCAAGGTGGCTATGCAGTCGCTGCGCGTTTCTGACCACGTCGATTCAACCTTCAACCTGACCATATGCTGGTCGAAAGGTGCTACCCCAGTCCGGGATGCAGTGCGCTTCGTCGACTATGGCTCCGGCCAGGTTCTCTTGAAAGGTGCGTGTTGTCAGAAGGGAGTTGAACAAGCTTGGGCTAAATGCCATCTCCGGGGAGGTGAAGATGAACTGGTGTTCCAGGTTCTCGAGTTCCTGATGCACAGTCAGTCTTTGCCATCGTTAAAATGTTCTTGCTTACTCACTTGATGAAGCTTAGCTGTATATGTGTCTCCATTAACCACCGTAGCTGACAGACCCATCTCTTTGAAACGACGGGCCTACCGAGTATGTCAGTGAGTGTATTGGTATCCCATTATCACCTCGAACACTTACCTGATCATACTCAAGAGCATTTAAAGGTGATATGACCAGTGTCACCTGTCGATCTTGCCGCACCATGGTAGGCATTGCAAAAGGAAGGGTCTTGCCTGCCCCTGTCCCTGCAATGACTGTACAGTCCAGTCCGAGGAAGAATGCTTCAGCGCAGTCCAGCTGCCACGGATGAGGGGTATGTCCTGTTCGGTCTTCACATGTCTTCGAGAGTAACTTGCGTGTGTCTTCGGATGAGTAGTTAGCTGTTTGAGCTCGTTTCGAAGAGAGGACTTCTCGGCTATGGTCCGAGGGGGTATCTTCATTACTCATGAATAGATTATATGAGCATAGATAGGCAAAACGAGTGGAATGGGAGGCGCTATGGCTCGGCGCTGCACCCCCTGAGCACGGCGAGGACTTTGCGAGATTTTCGAGACGTTCCGCTGTCCCGTTTCCCCTCCTGCCTGATTGAGGCGGTACTTCCTAATTCGCAGACACTCAATGACAGGTCTGTGACCTGGTGTTACAGTGCAGTTACAGTGCATCACAAGTTTCCTTATTGATGTCCAGAGTTTCCATTCTAGCTACAAAATTGTCACGCGCGTTACAAGACGGTATAGGCCTCTATCAAAAGTCTCCAGACGCTCCTGCGGAGCTGCCCATAGGGCCGAAAAAGCTCCGCCTAAAGGAGCGGCTGGTTCGAGACTAGCGAGGCCTGTATACTCCGCATTTTCCAACTACCGAAACGAACGCCAACTTTCGTCCATCTCACACGATAAGCTATTGAAACTCTTCACGTTGATGCTGAGGCACTCATACACCTACTTACGCGCTCAGACATCACCACACTCGCTTCGTCTGTAAACGATATGATCGTAGGACCGAAGCGGGGAGGCATGTAAGAAACAAGAGCTACATATGTTTCCACTGGGGAGGCAAACAAGCTTTGGTGACTGCCCAAGAACTTTCTTCGGAGTCGATTTTACCGTCTCAAAGCATGGACGCTAAGGGTGTGTAAACTCGTTTGGTTTACACTCCCTTAGCGATCGTTCTTTGTACGCACGTTGCAACTTTATATGAAACAATAGACGGTACGATGTTTGGGCTCTGATAGCAGTAGTTATATTATAATTGCAGGGCTCGACTATTCGAGACACCAGTTTATCATCTACTCTTTGAGGTTTGTAAGGGTATGTAAACTCGTTTCAAGCAATTCGCTGCCATTTGAGATCATCAGAAGGGAGATGCTGTCAGCGCTCCGATGAAGTCACATAGAGCCGTCGACCAATAGATGTGTTAGCAAGGGCGCAAATGTGCCGTCTGGACTGCATGGCGAAGCAGGTTCGTGCGGAGTCGATGTGGAGGAGCGTGAAAACAGATTGGAAACCCGGAGGCGCAGAGGAGATCTCGATTGCTGCTGTGACGGGGCGCGGGGTAAACCTTGTTTGAAAGCATTAAGAAGTCCTCTGGAATGGCAGCCAGAGACGCTGAGCTGAGTCATCTTGCTATCAGAGCTGAATAGACCCCACAAGCGCCTCTGAAGGTTGCTTGATGGTGAGTCAAAGCCGGAGACATGGACCACAGGGAAATCGTCATACGGTAGCACGTGGACCAGAGCGCTCAATGTATCGTAGATCGAGCTTTCCGAGACAAAAGAGCTCATGTCTACCGAGAATCGGAGATTGGGCTTTTGATCCGTAGATGACGGCGCAGGAGGGCCCCACGAGACCACAAGTCCATAGCCCCGGGTGGTCCTGTACTGGCGGAGAGACAATTCACTGACGCTGGTGACGAGTGGCGCCGGCATCCAGCGCTGCTCGGCAATTATGTCCACAAGCGAAAGGAAGAGAATCGGGTTATCCATCTCTAGTAGCCCCTCAGACAGAGAAAGGGAAGAGCAACGCGTATGCAGTTGTGTAGTAGGTGGAGCGTCGATGAGTTTGAAGAGTGTCTGGGATGTCAATAGGTCACTCTCAATGGAGATGCGCTGAAGACATGGGTTGCTGCACGACATATGGATTTGTTCGAGGCTGTGGTGAGGTTCATTGCTGTTAGACATGGCGATGGAGCCAGCCAATTCTATCACGGTCAAGGCGGCATGCATCCGATGGATATCACGAAGCGTCAGTACAGGCGTTGACCCAAAGCCGCCAGCGATGATCAGGTGAGTCAGGGGGCACAGTGTTGGATCGATAAAACGAATGCCGCAGCCTTTCACGTGTAGGCGTCTCAGAGAGGCTAGTGTCGGTAGCTGGAGGGGATTCGGTTCGAGGGAAACAACGATAAGAGTTTTGAGCGAGGAGCCGAGGAGGGAGAGCGTACGCTGGAGCGCATTGTCCTGAGAGATATCCCTCCGGACCAAGAACATGCCTTTCACCCGGGAGAGACCTCCTGAAAGAGCGACAATCTTCGCGTCGTCGGCTGAGGGAATATGCTGTTCAGTGCAATGGAGTGTCAGAATAGCCTTGTCTTCTTCTTTATTCGAGCAGGTGATCGCGATCGAGATGAGCATAGGTGACCATGCCAAGGATACGTGCCCCCAGAGATGCGGTGTGGCGAGAGCAACGCGGCGCCACTCGCGGCACACGTGGAGGAGTGGCCAAACATCGCGCTCGGGCGGGGTCGTCTGCAAATCGGAATGCTCGGTATGGACAAGAACCAGGTGAATCTCGAAGAGGCGGACAAGAGCAGCGGGAGGAAGTTTCGCGTTCTGGGGCTCGGACATGGATGTTGACACGAGACAGAGTGGAAGGGAAAGTTTTCACTGTTCAGCTTTTAAATAGGTTCATGGGCAAGACAGTGACAGCTCAGGGTTGTACACGAGGCGTCCTTCAGCCAAGCGCTGTCAGTGAGGAAGCATTTTTGAGTATTACCCATTGGACCTTCCCAGACCTTCTCCCTGTAAGTTGCAGTGCGATTACTCCTCTCCTGGTTGCCGCATTATGTTCGAAGGAAGGTTCCAGGGACTTCAACTGTTCGCAGAACGCAGTTCCAGAGCCTGTTGGTGGCGATGAGTGTGTAAATCGAAACCTGTCAATGTCGGAATTTGAAGACTTCCGGTAGTTGCCGCCTTGGACGGAACTGGGCTCAGTGGTGCTTGAAAGCTTGATTACGTTCATGTACTTCGTCTTGGAATCGGGGTTCGCATGTCGCTCGCGTCATGACATTTCGCTCTTTTCAGACTTGAGGCTCTACTTCTTTCTATTGGTCATTTCCGAGTCATACAAACCGTCTTTGTCCATGGTACAGTTTTCCAAGACATAGAAACGACTCGGACATATCTATACGTACGTACATATGTTATACAACGGGATTTTTGAGCAGCAGTCCGTTCTTCATCATAGCGAAGGGATTTTTAGACCCTCGAGAGCGGGAATGGGCCTCTCAGCTTGAGGCGTAACACGGACACCGTGGCGACGCGCCTTGCTCTCACCGTAGTCTACAATCGCGGACTAGCGACACGTCAGTCAACGGGGATGTTAACTCGAGTTGTATATCACGGATGGTGGCACTTACATGGGCAGTGATGCGGTTGTCCCATACGACAACGGTCCCAGGCTCCCACTTGACTCTAGCCTGTAGATCACCAGACGCGGCAATGTGGTTATACAGGAAGTTCAGGAGCGCCTCTGCAATGGATCCGTCAGTGAATATACACCTTCTCCAGGCAAGCTACGAAAAGAAAACGCAAGAAGACTTACCAGACTCCTCCTTCTTCAGCCCCACAATCCTTCTTGAAAATCCTTTGTTGACATACAACGCCTCCTCCCCGGTGACCGGATGCTTCCTCACCAGCGGATGCACATGCTCCACCGGCTCCCTCCGTACCACTCCGCCTTTCCCGCCCGCGCGCGAACGGTTTGCCTGGTCGACGCCCGAGTGCACCACGCTGAGCGTGCGCAGGAACTCGACGAACGGCGGGGACAGCCGGCGGAGGGTGGAGACCTGGGATGTGAAGAGGGTGTCACCGCCCGTGGGTGGGAAGTCGAGCAGGAAGAATGTGGTCAGGCCGGGTGGCTGGAGCTCGTACGAGACGTCGGAGTGCCAGCCGGTCATGGTGATGCTGCCTTCGTATCCGAAGTTGTAGTCTGAGTTTGCGTCCCTTATAAATGAGTGGAAGTTATATCAGGGAGTCAAAGGCGCGGGTGTCTAAGAAAAACGTACACGTAAACGAGATGAAGCTCGGGGTGGTCCTTTGGATGGCCGGTTGTTGGGTGGATGTGTAGCCTAGAGGTGTATATGTTAGCAAGAGGCGTATAGGTGCGCTAGACATATCTTCTTGGAGCGCCTGGATACATACCTTCCGAAGTATCGTCCCCACTCAAGATACGCCTCAGGCCCAGCGTTGATGAATTCTTGTTGGCCCCTGAACACCAAGAGTCCTCGCCTCGCCACCTATGAAAATGACGTATCAGCGTTCATGTTCCAGGTTCGACGGCGTGTGAGAGAACCCACCTCGAGCGCAAGTTGGTCTCGGCCATCACTGTCGAGCTTGAGCAGATCCACACCGCGAACCTCGGTACCCAACCTCGGGGTCAGATGCACGATCTTCTCCGCGCCGTCCAGGAACGCGCGAGGGTCTGCGTGCTTGAGCGCGCGGGAGCCGGGGTCGACGTGCTCGAATGGGACGAGCGGTGGGTACTTGATGGATGCGTCGAAGTGAGGTAGTAGGTGAGCATAGCGGTATTCTTCCTGTTGTTCGCTCTCGTCGGACTTGTTCAAGGGCAGACTCGCAAGCGTCTGCGTAGTCTCCGTGACCGTCTCAGTGGTGGTAGCCATAGCTATTCGACAGAGGCTGAGAAGTGCTGGGAGGTCCTTCCTGGCGCAAGTTATATGTTGAATGGAGCGTTGTTCACTCGTGACTTGGCTCGTCATTGGGTTCGTGCTAGACGCAACAAAGCTCGTGATGGTTTATTTCTGTTATCTGCAGGCGGGGTATGTTCCTGGGACCCATGGTGCAGGTGACTGAATGTAGATCAAAGCTGAAGCTTGAATCCGGACCGGCGGCGAGGTTGTGGAAGTGTTGTGGAGTAGCGTGAGCGTTAACTTTGGGATACACCACACTTCGCCGCAATACCCTCACGTCCTCATTGTCGCGTCCTGTTATGAGACAGCGGGATGCCGGTGATGATGTCGTGCTCGCTGTGTCGGTCGTTGCTCAAACCTCCGGGAGATAATGGGCAAGCGCGTGGTGTTTGCGGAGTTGTCGCGGGCCGGCAAATCGCTCCCTTCTTTCAGAAATCGTGATTAGTTTCTACCATATGCATCACCTTTGACAATGCTTTCTGGGCTACGCTGACCCTATTTGGCTTTACCTTTCACTATCATTTGCTCTCAGCGTGCACAGCATCTGCGCATACTCTAGGCTCGACATGACTCGGAGAGTGTCACGACCCAGGAGCACACCACGTGCGTCCACAGCAATGTGGGGGTTTCATTGTTTACGCCCTCGAGGGATGTTGCTGGCGCAGGAGTGGACGTTCGCTGAGTGTTATATAAGACATGAAAGCAGAATGGAGACTTGTGAAAGAACTGGTGAGGAGGTGGAGCGCGGTGCAAAACGCGTTTCCCACGACCAAACTGCCCTTGAACTGTCTCCAAGCAATCTCAGCCAAGTCACTATCGCTTTTCTTCGTCGTTCGTCGGTCTCGCCAGCGATAGGTTAGCGCAAATAGTAATATCTGCCTAATGCCATTCGAGTACAACACTAGGACAACTCGAGGGCAGCCGGCGACCTAACATGACCGTATTGGAGAGCATAGCACATTGACCAATCAGGTTGTCTCTATTCCAACCCCTGTTTTTCCTACGGGCCCGGATTATCCCGATTTGAATATTGACTCCGACCTGGTCTCTGCCGCCGCAGTACGCGTACACCATGCCGACAACATCGACTAACTATGTATACGACAACTCATGCGACAAACACGGCAGCTCCTCGTCATCAAGCTAGCACTGGCAGCGAGCTTTAACCCGGCTAGGCTGAAAACGGATATTCTGGTTGTTCTCTGATGATGATCTGCATGTACCGCCAAGGGTTGCTCAATAATCAGGGACCTCTATGACGTTAGACTGTCAAGGCGTTAGTCCTGCGCTTTCTCCGCTCGTCGAAATGTCACGCTCACCCAGATTTGCACGTGCGTGCGACAAGGGGAGATAGCGAGATCCACCCACTGTGAGTGTCATTGACGCCCCTGATGAGTAAACAAAGGTAGCACGCTAACATGTTTGTATCCTTAGACTGTAGTTGGAGTGACGCAGACGGAAGGCGGGATCAGGCGTAAAGTCGTGGACGTTTGCGTCCGACAAGTACGGGCAGCGCTTTGCAATTCCTGCATGGCCCGCACATTCTGCATCTCCACTGCCTGCGACGATGCGCATATATACAACCTGAAAACGAACTAGTGGACGCCAATTACACTCACGCTCAGCAAACACCACCATGGACACCCTCTCGATTCAAAAACTCGACAAATTCTTCCCCGCTCCTTCGGCGGCGCCAACGGGCTTCTGTCCGCAGCGGCTCCCCGGGACCAACGCGTTGGCAGCTAGGGATGCGGTCAAACGCGCTTTAAGGGAGAATCACGTCAAGAACCATATTTTCAACCGACCAGGCGGGTTTCACAAGTGAGCGTTGCGTCCACAGAGCTCCTATATAGCTGGCCTAATGTCTGATGCATGTAAAACTAGCCACTGCTCGCATCATGTCCTCGCCGTCTACCCACTTGGTGCCTCAGCCCCGGTCATTGAGGCACTGTACAGCGTAGATTCGCAGAGGCACCAAAGACATTCCCAAGGTAACTGATAAGATTACGTTGGATAACTTCGCAAAACATCTCGGTGAGGAAGATAAGTGTTTTCCTTACTTGGCGTCTATATTACACTAACGATAATCTGTTCCTAACAGCTGCTACTCCCGGTACCTCGACTTCTTTGCTGAAGAGATCGACCAGCACGGAGTAACGGAGACGCTCGAACGGTTCATGTACTCTGACGAGTTCAACGTGAACGCCGACGGCACCGGGCTCGCTATGCTCGCGCGCAATTTCGAGCCATTGTACCATGCTATGATTCACATTGGGTACTCCATCGAATTCGGCATCCCAGGGCTAGCCGCTGAAGGTGCGTGTCGTACTCTCTGAATGTATGCGCAGCAAACTCACGTTCCTTCTTTTCTCTAGGTATGGCGATGGCCGCTGTGGACCCCAACGTATTCAACCACCAGTTCCTCGCGCCGCTTTGGTCGACAGTGTCTACCAAATCCTCCGTGAGTGCAGACGCGGTCTCGTCGCTTGCTATCAAAGGAACTAACGGAGTCAACGGTACGCAACAGAAGACCCCCGAAGTCACCGTTTTCGACGTTCTCAACCTCGTCTACGAGGGCGACTTCGTCACGAGGCAGTTCGACACGCCGCAGGAGAACATCAAAGTCACATTCGAAGCGAATACTGACCGCATGCTCAAGTACGCGCTCGAATGGAGCATCGACCTGTCGAAGCCCGGCGAGCTCGACCGCAAGATCAAGGAGTTGCAATGGCTCATGGTAATCTTGTACGGCGTTGCTGGGTACCACGAAGGCAAGGGCCTGCAGGCTGATTTCTACAAGTGCGTTTCACCTTTATCACGTCCCCCTTCACGAATCGCACGCTGATATCTGTGTGCATGACCCAGCATGCACCTCGTCACCTCATGCCTCTTCCTCGGCCCGAACCTATACCAGCTATCCAAACGCTCGCAGGAGATCTTCCTCCGCGCGTATCTCGCCAATTCACTCACCATCTACCTCATGTTCGGCCGCCCGCCCCTCGATATCGCCACGTTCTGGAAGGAAACCGCCGCAGCCGAGTTTATTGTCCCCGCCGGGTTCAACAGCAGCAGCACAGGCACCGACGCAGGCTACACCGGGCCCGCGCAGCTCGACGCCAAGGTCCTCGCCTCAACCAAGGGCAACGCGAATCCCTGGGCGACGCACGTGCAGAGCGCGATCGTGGCCAAGGACGACCACTACGCGAAGCTCATCCGCGCGCTGCTGCACCTCGCGGAGCGGTTCGGCGATCGCCCGGCGGGGCACTTGGTGACGATGGCGCCGAACTGTGGGTTGGAGGGGCTGGAGCAGATCGACGGCTCGCTGTTTTTGAGGGTGGCTGGGTTGACAGCCGAGGCTGTGTACGACGCCCAGATTTTCAGCATTAACAAGCCTTACACGGGCTTAGAGCTTGCATGAAGAGTAGTCGAGGAGCTTGGTAGGACTTGATAAAGACGGACGTTTGACGTGATACATATGCATTTGATGATAGTTAGTGATTGTGTATAGTACATCTTCCAACATGATAAATAGAAATAAGACCGCTCTCTGCGTACAATAGCGAAATGGTGTACAAATCGACCACTCTCTGCGTATAATAGCGAAATGGTGTACGAATCGAGCACTTACTGAACGTAATGCATAACTGGAAAACGTCAGGGCACGACGGAACAGTAGGTGCGGAAGCAAGAGAAGGCTAGCAAAGAGAAGCAACGACTCACATAAATATCCATGAGCGCTAATCCTCTCGTTCTCTTCCACCCTCGAGTCGCTCTTGTGATCTTGACTTCCAAGTAAAGCTAAGGCCATCGATGCGCCACGCTGAAAGCTGCGCATGCTCACCATTGATCTGGAATCGGAGGCATGAATCACAGATGATTTGCTGGGCGTGACGTGGTATCAGGTTCTTCGTGCAGAGCTTGCATTGCCGATGATCAACAAGACGTGAGGTGCTGTGTTCTGTGGTTGGACGATCGCACTGTGTGCTTGAGCGCCGGGATTGGGGACCGACGTTTGACCGGTTTTCATCTTTCCGAGAGGCACTGTACCTTCCGCCCCTAGGCCTGGCAGGCAAGCTCGACTGGGCTTGCTGAGAGCTCGAGCTCTTTGCCTGATTCGGGGAGGCCTTATGCCTAGAGGCTGGAGTCACCGATCCCAAAGTGGCGGTGTTGAGAGCCTGGAGCACCAGCTGCTCTACTGTCGCGTGGCTGCTCTGGAGTCTGCGTGCATTCGACTGCAACGTGAGTTGACTCAGAGGGAAAGCGCTGTGACTCGAGATCGACTTACTCTGTTCCTGTTTGCCCATGCTATCTGTCGTAGACGTGTTGGATGAAATGGGGTTGGCTGGATGGTGGGGCGGGTAAAGGTGTAGGTGGTGATCGAAGCTCGAGGACGATGTGGTGGGCGACACACTGCTTATCGCCGTGAATCCACAGCAAGTTTAATTTGCGGACTTTCGATTTTGAGGCTGTGTTCCGATAACACTGCAGATAAACTGAAATGCTCCTGTATGACCGAGTCGACCAACTTGGTCGGCCCCTTCGTATGAACTAGCTGCTGGAAAAGGCACGAAAACAACGTTTCCATCCGCGATACGATGCGGTACCATCGCGAGTACTAGTGAACCTCCACGCCCGGATCCGTACGCCTCCCTTTCCCTTCAACCTTTTCTCCGGCTCAGAGGACTGTATGCTCTAGGAAAAGACATCAGAGGAGTGTCTAGGGGCAGACTCGGATAAGAAGGCATCAAGAGGAGGCTTTCATGACACATTATATTGCGGTAAGCGATTTTAGAACAAGCCCCTGCATTGCTAGGTGTCGACGATAAGCGCTGAGGAGGTGATGGCGGTGAGTATATGCACATGTGTCGGAGCGCTTTCATTAGATCTGAGATCTGACCCTGGCATTATCTCAGAACTTCGTCACTGCGACATTTTTGGAAACAGGTATGGCTCTCGTTACTCGTGTTGAGTGCAGGAGCGTGGCGGATAATGACACCATTGTGTTCTCCGTGATTGTTCTCTTCATCGTGAGTTCTTGCGCGTTAGATCTGCTGCGCTTCCCGTCACTGGCTTTTCTAGGTTCAATTCATCACACATACAGTTCCTGGAGACCAGTCATCGTTTATGAACGCAAGTTACCTGGCTTCTACGCGACAACGGAGCTCAGCGCCGATTGTACTTTCAAATTTCATCGGCGATGACGAGTCTGCCTCACCCAACTTTTCAGATATGTTCAAAGATCACCATCGCTAATCGAAACACGGCACGATCCTTATCGATCTAGCATAACGCGTTATCGACCGCCAGATCCGTCGATTCTATCGTTTTTCTAATGCCGGCAGTGCCAACACCGTCGATCCGCTATGGCATGATAAGCTACGCTAACGGATCGAGCAGCCGTTAGAGAATTACTCTTCCTGTTTCAAGGAAAGAGTGTTAAGGGCATGTGAATCTTGGTCGATTTTTATTCCCTTAACACTTTCTCCTTGTAGATTTGATTGAGATTTGATGCTTGTTGATGAACTTGCCGACGGTACAGTACTTGATACCGAACCTTTAGGTCACTTCGAGGTTGCAAAATCCTTCGTAACCTTCCGAGTTCTTTATCAATGTTTTGCATTTGTGAGGTCTCGGGCGATGCAGTAGTGCAACACTGGAATCAGTCACAATATTGTAGCTAAACTGTTGAGCTAGCGGAGTTTTTGGGCTCGCAATCTACTTCTCAATATTTGTAAGGGCATGTGAATCTTCAAGTTGGTCTTATGGGCTGCACTCCTATCGAATGTCGTGACCAGATAACTACGTCAGTAATCCTCTGAAGTCACATAGAGCCATCGATCAATAGTTGTGTTAGCAAGGGCACAAATGTGCCGTCTGCGTATGATGGCGAAGCAGGCTCGCGAGTAGTCGATGTGGAGGAGCGTGAAAACAAGTTGGAAAACCGGAGGCGCAGAGGAGATCTCGGTTGCTGCTGTGACGGGGCGCGAGGTAAACCTTGTTTGAAAGCATTAAGGAGTCCTCTGGAATGGCAACCAGAAACGCTGAGGTGAGTCATCTTGCTCTCAGAGCTAAACAGTCCCCACAAGCGCCTCTGAAGGTTGCTTGATGGTGAGTCAAAGCCGGAGACATGGACCACAGGAAAATCGTCATACGGGAGCACGTGGACTAGAGCGCTCAATGTATCATACATCGAGCTTTCCGAGATAAAAGAGCTCATGTCTACCGAGAATCGGAGATCGGGCTTCTGGTCCGTAGATGATGTCGCAGGAGGACCCCACGAGACCACAAGCCCGTAGCCTCGGGTGGTCCGGTACTGGCGAAGGGACAATTCACTGACGCTGATGATGAGTGGCGTCGGCATCCAGCGCTGCTCGGAAGTTATGTTCACAAGCGAAAGGAAGAGAACCGGGTTATCCATCTCTAGCGGCCCCTCGGACGGAGAAAGGGAAGAGCAACGCATATGCAGTTGTGTAGTGGGTGGAGCGTCGATGAGTTTGAAGAGTGTCTGGGATGTCAATAGGTCACTCTCAATGGAGATGCGCTGAAGACATGGGTTGCTGCACGACATATGGATTTGTTCGAGGCTGTGGTGAGGTTCATTGCTGTTAGACATGGCGATGGAGCCAGCCAATTCTATCACGGTCAAGGCGGCATGCAGCCGATGGATATCACGAAGCGTCATTACAGGCTTTGACGCAGAGCCGCCAGCGATGATCAGGTGAGTCAGGGGGCACAGTGCTGGATCGACAAAACGAATGCCGCAGCCTTTCACGTGTAGGCGTCTCAGAGAGGCTAGTGTCGGTAGCTGGAGGGGATTCGGTTCGAGGGAAACAACGACAAGAGTTTCGAGCGAGGAGCCGAGGAGGGAGAGCGTACGCTGGAGTGCATTGTCCTGAGAGATATCGCGACGGACCAAGAACATGCCTTTCACCCGGGAGAGACCCTCTGAAAGAGCGACAATCTTCGCGTCGTCGGGCGAGGGAACAGGCTGTTCAGTGCAATGGAGTGTCAGAAGAGCCTTGTCTTCTTCGTTACTCGAGCAGGCGATCGCGAGCGAGATGAGCCTAGGCGACCATGCCAAAGATACGTGCCTCCAGAGATGCGGTGTGGCGAGGGCAACGTGGCGCCACTCGCGGCACACGTGGAGGAGTGGCCAAACGTCGCGCTCGGGCGGGGTCGTTCCCAAGTCGGAATGCTCGGTATGGACAAGAGCCAGGTGAATCTCGAAGAGACGGACAAGAGCAGCGGGAGGAAGTTTCGCGTTCTGGTGCTCGGACATGGACGTTGACACGAGACAGAGTGGAAGGGAAAGTTTTCACTGTTCAGCTTTTAAACGGGTTCATGGGCAAGAACAGTGACAGCTCAGGGTTGTACACGAGGCGTCCTTCAGCCGAATGTTTTCGGCAAGGAGGCATTTTTGATTTCTGGCAGCTTCTCTGCCAGTGCAAATTACTGTGAGTATTCTCTTCTTTTGTTCGGTAAATGATGCTTAAAGAAACTTACCTGGTAGCTCATATGCCTGCGGGAACAGCGCTGAAGTGTGTTAGAATGAACGTAGTGGCGGTGAATGTGCAAGCGCCCATCGAAACCCATCGGACTTTGGTGACTTTCGGTACTTGCCGGATGGGAGACTCATTCCCTAGGCGCTATTACAATCAAATTATAGTATTACTGCGCGGCCACGTCCAACAGTCGGGAAGTGGGGTCATATGCATCCTCTTACTGTCCCTCAAAATTCACCCATGTATCCAAATACTCATGGCCGGTGGAAGACTAAAAGCATTTTATTCGGAAGCCGGCGTACTTAATTTCTATCCGGAAGTTAGCTATCTGCACAAGACATGAGTTTTCAATGGTACAAGAGCGATCATCTATGCATACATGTATCTTACACTATCATTCTCAACATCATGTGGTATTCCTCCTCCTTCACAATGTCGGGATCTGCAGACCTTCCAGAGCAGGGATCGGCCTCTCGGCCTGCGGCGCAATGCGTAGACCGTGGCGGCGCTGATTGGACTCGGCGTAGTCTATGACCGCAGACTAGAGGTGTACAAGTCAGAAAGTGTGTCTTGTGACTGTGGGCAATGTCACTTACGTGGGCGGTGATGCGATTGTCCCACAGGACAACGGTTCCGGGCTCCCACTTCACCCTGGCCTGCAGATCTACAGATGCAGCGATGTGGCTGAACAAAAAGTCGAGCAGCGTTTCTGCCGGACGTTCGTAAGCATTGAACGCGTTTATGTGCTTAAGCGCTTATAGTGGTGCCTACCTGACTCCTCCTTCTTCAGCCCCACAATCCGCCTCGTGAATCCCTTATTGAGATACAGCGCCTCCTCACCGGTGACCGGGTGCCTGCGGACCAGCGGATGCACGTGTTCCACTGGCTCGCGTCTGACCACCCCGCCCTGCCCGTCTGTGTGCGAACGCGAGCGCGCGGCCTGCTCGACGGCGGAGTGCACCGCGCTGAGTGTGCGCAGGAACGCGACGAAGGGCGGCGAGAGTCGGCGCAGCGTCGACACCTGCGATGTGAAGAGGGTGTCGCCGCCCGTGGTCGGGACGTCGAGCAGGAAGAAGGTGGTTAGGCCCGGGGGCTGGAGCTCGTACGAGACATCGGAGTGCCAGACGGTCGTGGTGATACTGTTTTCGTAGACGGTGGCGAGGTCAAAACTTGCGTCTCTGTGGTTGATAAATCATAATCAGTAGTGGTGTTGTCTTATCTCGTGGGTGCACGCACTTGTATACGATGTGGAACTCGGGATAGTTCTTTGGGTGGCCGCTCGTGGGATGGATGTGCAGCCTGAGTAGGTCACAGAGGACATGAGCACGGGAGCTGGACGTGCTGGATTGACTAACGAAACCTTACCTTCCAAAGTAACGTCCCCACTCGAGGTATGACTCGGGTCCTGCGTCGATAAACTCCTTCTGATCTCTGAACACGACGAGCCCTCGCCTTGCGACCTGTACGTGGCGTTAACACAACCCAAGAAAAAGCTTATACCAGCGTCGTGGTGTACTGGGGCTCACCTCGAGCGCAAGTTGGTCGCGGCCATCACTGTCGAGCTTGAGCAGGTTCACACCGCGCACCTCGGTGCCCAGGTTCGGCGTCAGCTGTACGACCTTATCGGCGCCGTTTAGGAACGCACGCTGGTCTGCGTGCGTGAGCGCACGAAGGCCAGGGTCGACGTGCTCGAACGGAACGAGTGGCGGGTATTTAAGCTGATGGTCGAAGTGAGGCAGCAGGTGGGAATAACGGTACTCTTCCTTCTTCTCGCCCTCGTTGGGTTTGTTCAAGGACAGACTCGCGAGCGTCTCTGTAGTCTGCGTGACGGTCTCGGTGGCGGTGGACATGGCTGTTCGGTCGAGGCTGAGAAGAGGCGAGATGGTCACTTGGCGCAGGTTATAAGTTGAACTGGTATTGCGCCGCTCGTGACTGAGCTCATCATTGTGCTCGTGGTAGACGCAAGCAAGCTCGTGATGGTTTATTCCTGTTATCTGGAGGTGGAGACTTTGTTCCTAGAGCCATCGTTCAGCTGACCGGGCGTAATTCGAACCTAGAAGGGACCAGCAGCGATGCGGTGGTAAATTAGTCACCGGGATGCTAGTAAGTCGTGATCACTCGTCAGACTACGAGAAGTTGTTAACCATGGCTCACACTTTGCTTTTTTGGCAAGTTTCTATAAATACCTTATGTCTGCGAAATGCGGTCCCGTCATGCCACGTAGCGAGGCAGGAACACTTTTCTTTGGAGGCAGACAAAGGTTTAAGATTAAGCTGTTAAGACAATGCAAATCAGGGAAGCTAGAACCAGCACATCCACGTCAATCACTGCCGTCATTGCAAGATTGAACTTAGCAAGCGCTTGGACGGAGAGTATGTGCTTGCGCTCTTCGCTGCAAGCTGCTTGAGATTACTTAGCCTTCAACGAGAGCGCCATTGTAGCTGCGGTGTATAACGTTGAACTCGTTTGCTCGAGGTGTGAGTTGTGCGTGAGCAAGAGATGGGATGACAGGTGAAAGATGTTTTGCGAGTTGTGCGAACAATGGGATCAGGCAACAATAGCATCCGAGCCCACCGCATACACCCACACCTTCCCTGTTCTCGTTCCTCCCAGTCCCTTACTTGCCGCCGTTTTGTTTTTCTATCCTGCTCCTTAATATCTAATCTTCTCATCGAAATCTCCAACAAAACTGGCCTCACTTTGACACAACCCCATCAAGACTTCCGGCAATGTCAATGCAGGTCCAGGAACAGGCCCGACATCCCAGACGTCAGGACACCTTCGACCTCCGTGGCGAAATCCAAACAGACGACGCAGTCCAGATGCACGCGCACGCAGATGCTGCTCACTACGGTGGCACGTCAGACGAGGAGCACTCCGTCATGGAGGATGACTCGGACGGCGACGAGCGCGACGTCGACTACATAGACGACGACGATGGCTCCTCTTCCCTCTCCATCCCCAACGAGAGCATCGACTTTGACCTCGTCTACTCCCTCCATAGCTTCGCCGCCACCGTCGAGGGCCAGGCGAGCGTCGTCAAGGGGGACAGCCTGTTCTTGATGGACGACAGCAACTCTTATTGGTGGCTCGTCAGGGTGCTCAAGACGCAGGACGTGGGCTATATACCAGCGGAGAACATTGAGACGCCGTTTGAGCGTCTCGCAAGGCTTAACAAGCACCGCAATGTCGATGTGAGTTGTGTCGTACTAGTAGCTACCGTCCGAACTGACACCGACATCCAAGCTCGCCCAACCCACCTCCCGAGAACTTCAAGACGACGTCGACCGCATCCGCGTCAACCTCAACTCTCACAACGGCTCTCATGCAACCACCCCCTCGCCTACCCCCGGCGCACCCGCCAACACTCAGCCCGCCCCCGCTCCGGCCCCGGCCCCCGCAGCTGCTAATATTAGCGCCGAACAACGTGCCCTCCATCGGCGCACCGTCAACTTCACCCCCTCCATGTCCGTGCACCGCTACCCCCCGGCCGTGTGGAACGAAGAGGAAGAGGAAGAAGAGGACATCGAGTGGGACGACGACGCGTACGAGGAGGAGGACACCGAGCTCGCGCAGGAGCAGCTCCGCGAGCAGCAGGCGCGGGAAGCGCAACGCGCGCAGGATGCAGAGATTCGCCGGCGCGGGCAGCCTCTGTCTCCCGAGAACGGCGGAGTGAACATGATGGAGCCGGATGACGGGATGGGCTGGGATGATAGTGCGACGCAGGAGATTCAGGCGAGGAACGCCGCGCAGAGGATGGCTCAGGGTGCGGGAGCGGGCGGGCCGCCGGAGGCGCTGAGGCCAGCTGGGGGTCAGTCGCCTCAGCAGCAGGCGCAGGCGCAGCTGCAGGTACAGGCGCAAGCGCAAGCCCAGCAACAGCGGATGCAACAGCAGCAGCAGCAGCAAGCAGAACTCATGCGTCGCCAGCAAGAACAGCTCCAGCTCCAGCAGCAGCAGGCCGCCGCGAACGCCCAGATGGCGATACAGCGCGACCCCGCGATGGCGGATACCTTGGAGACTAAGAAGCTCACTGTGACGCCTTCGATCGCGCGTGACGATGGTAGTGGGCCGCTGTTGCCCAGCGCGATCATGCAGAAGCAGGAGGATGACCGCAAGCGCACGCGCGAGGAGATCGAGGCGCTCGAGGACGCGGCGCGCAAGAAGGCCCGCGGCGGCAAGTCCGGCGCTGTCTCGCCCTCTGGCACCGTTTCCCCCAGCCCTGGCTCCGCTCCCGGTGCGCGTCAAGGCGCTGCAGCACCAGGCTCTGGCGGCGGAAAACTGCGCAAAGAGCGGAGCAATGACACCACCGACGATGAGGGCAGCGGCAAGGAGAAGAAGAAGAAGGGCGGCGTGTTCGGCATCTTTGGGCGGAACAAGAACAAGAACAAGGACAAGGCTTCGCCCTCCTCCTCTCACACTGGCTCGATCGACGCGGGTAACACGAGTGGGCCCGAGGGCATCGTCGGGCGCAACTCAATCGACAGCGGGCGGTCGAGCAGCACCGTGCAGCACGGCGGTGTAGATGGCCAACAGCTAATGAGCCCGACAACAGCGAGCGCGATGGCGCACCAGCAGCAGGTGATCCGTGCGTCTGAGGAGAACAAGATGCAGACGCCGATGCGCCCTGGCCCTGGCCAGCCCGGCGCGCAGCAGGGCCTGCAGAACCCGCAGACACCACCGAGCCAGCAGGCCCAAGTGTCCCAGCACGCCTCGCAGCTGCTCCAGCGCGACCGGGCGCTGTACCAACAGTACCTAAACCGCTCGCCATCGTCTCCGCCTGAGGCGCCCTCTCTGGGCCTGTGGAGCGCATCAGCTGTGCTTGGCGCCAACGGATCGAGCGCTACACCCACTAGCGGCAGCGGCAACGCGACACTTTCTCCGGGCGGCTTCGCGCCCAACGTTACTTCCACGCCTAATGGCCCCTCCCAAGCCCCCGGCCCCGGCCCCGGACATGGCCATACCCACAGCCACACGTCGTCGTCTTCGCAATCAGGCTTGGGCCTCCCCTTCCCAGGCAGTGGCAGCATCGGCAGCGCCGGCGGCGGAAGCATGGGCCGCGCGCGTCCCGCGTCGCTCGTGCTGCCCTCCGCGTCCACGGACGGCACTGGCCCCGGTATCGCAGACCTGAGCGTCATCCGCGTTTTTGCGGGGAAGAACGTGCAGACGGAGGCGACGTTCAAGACGGTCTTGCTCAACGCGTCGACGTCCTCGGCGGACCTCGTGCGGCAGGCCGTGCAGCGCTTCCGCCTGCCGGCGGGCGAGGACGACGCGCGCAACTACTATCTCAGCGTGAAGCAGCTTCCTGGCGGCGCGTGCGCCGCGCTGCGCGGGGACGAGGCGCCGCTCACGCTGTTTGAGCGGCTGGTCGAGGAGGCGAAGAGCGCGGAGGAGCTGCCGACGGTGCGCCGGAGCAGCGTGGGGAGCTTGAGCTCGGTGCGGAGCGATCTGTCGATGCACCCTGCGATCAAGAATTTGCAGATGAACGACTTCAGCGACGACTCGGCGGTCAAGTTTTTCCTGAACAAGCGCGGGCCGGCCGGGGACGAGGAGATGGACGAGGAGTTTGGCGTGCTCGGTACGGGTATGCGGATGGGGGGAGGGGACACGACGATGGAGGCGGTGGATGCGGGGAGCGTGTCGTCGCTGTCGTACGCCGGCGAGGCGGGCGAGGACTTGTCGTTCAGCAGCCCGAGCTACAGGTTTGCGGTGCAGCTTGTGGTTTATCCGGAGGATCTGCCCGAGGATATGGCGTTCGACCCGCAGACGGAGGCGATCGTGTTCAAGAGCATGCTGCGCGATCGGGATCGTCATCATCATAGCCACCATGGATCGCGCAACCACCATGATCATGGATCGATGTCCTCGACGGCGTCGGGTGTGTCGCCGCATTTGCGGAGGAAGGTGTTCTCGTTCCCGAAGAACGCTATTGTCGCGGAGGCGATCGAGCTTGGGCTGGAGCGGTTCGGGATTGTGGAAGGTGTTGTGGATGGAGGCGATGAAGTTGAGGATAAAATGACGAAACGCCGGAGCTCGAGCAAGGTTCGGTATTGGCTGACGGCGAGCTTCAAGGGGCATGGTGCGTCTGCCTCGCAACATGTTTTTGACCGAGTTACTGATTAAATCTATTTTGCGTTGCGGGGCACAGCAGAGCGCGAGCTCGCCCCCTCGAGCCGCATCGTCGACGCGTACCCGCACCCAGGCCCGCACTTCAAGGCCGTCGACAGGCGTGCGGACAAGCGGCGCTCCATCGATTCGGCGCAGCTCCTCGGCAACATCGAGGACGTTGGCCCCGATGACCCCGTGTTCATTCTCCGGCGCGCGGTGTCGTATCGCCATGCAGGCTCGCGCCACCGATCGTCTGCACCACTGGACGACGTTGCGCTCCGGCACCTGCGCGACTCGATCTCGGGCACGGACAAGGAGAAGGAGAAGGAAAAGGAAAAGGAGGCCGCCAGGGAAGCGAGAGAAAGAGAAGCTGCCGCTAAGGAAGGAGGCGCGGCCTCCCCGACAAAACAAATGTCCCGCCAGGAGCTCATCGCGGCCCAACGCGCAGCTTCGCGCGAAAAGCAACGCGCGGTGCTCAGCACGCAGCAGAACGACGCGCGCGGCATCGACGTCGTTCTTCCTGGGAATGTTGTCCTTCGTTCCTCGCGGCTTACTGGCCCGGGCGGTGCTCCTGGAACCATGCGGTACTCGTACATTCAAGATGGGGAGTCCTTTGATATATCCGATATCGTCGAAGAGGAGCTAAGGGGCGACCGCGGTGCGCGTTCTCCGCAGAACAACGGGCGGAGCAGCGCGAGCCCGCATTCGCGCTCTGGATCGAGCTTGGGTTCGGGCTCAGGTTCGCCTTCGGGTGGAGACCTCCTTGCTGGGCTAACGAGGCAGGGATCAAGTGGAGGCGCGAACGAGCAGCTGCTGGGGAGGGTACTCAACAAGATCAGGGACAAGGACGGTAACCTTTCTTCGAGGCTCGTGCCCAGCCGGGCGCCCCATTCAGCGAACAGCGTGTCAAGCGATCTTAGCTCGCAGCAGAGCCAGTACTCCGTCGACGACGAGAGCTTCGCTGCACGGAGTGACGCTGGTACCCCAACGCCTGGAAGGCCAGGTTCGGCTTCCCCGAACCAGAACCAATACCAGGGCCAGCGAGTTGCGTCGCCAGTGCTATCGGACCGCACCGCGCGTACGCCAACGCCGACAATGATCGACACGCGCAACGTCTCCCCCCATATCCAGGCCCAGAACCAGTCTCACCCTCACAAAGCACCGTCGCCCGTCCCGCGCGGCGTGCTCAACAGCAACGCGCGCAAGCCCTCCTTCGGGAGCGTCATGTCCGAGGCATCCGTGTACGCCACCCCGACCGCGGGGCTCAGCAGCCCCGAGCCCTCCTCGGACGACTACCACGGCCCAGTGCTGCGCTCGCAGTCGCAGCTCCCCTCCGAACAGGCGCACTCCCCACAGCCGCAGCTGAGCCAGGGCGCGCAGGCGCAGGCAGGGAGGCGAGTGCCTGCCATCCCCGCAGACGACTTTGGCATCTCGCACATGATGGCGATCATCCACCTCAACGCGCGGCGCGCAGCCGCTGCCTCCGCCTCGAACCCGGACGGATTCGGCGTAGACAGGTCCGCGAGCCGCATGACGGTCGGCCGGTCAGAGATCGTCGCGGCGGACCCGGTGGAGGAGATGCTGTTTGGCAAGACGGTGGACGTGCAGGCGCTGCACCCCGACGTGAGACGGATATACGCGAGCTCGTTCGAGCAGCTTGCTGAGATGGACAAGGTGCGTTTCTTTGTGCAACGTAGCTTGTGTTGAACTTGGGTGCTGATGCGCTGTTTATGTTCGTGCAGACGCTAGACGAGTACTTGCAGCAGGCGCTCAGGACCTACTAATTATTGTTCCTTTTCTTCCATGAAACTATAGTTTGGATGGGGTGTATAGAAGGGGATTGGATGGTCTCGTAACATATACGCACACGCTCGTTTTTTCCTTCTTCTATTTGTTCGTTTAATATTAATTGTCTCTAGTTCTGCTCGTTATTTATTCATGATTCCCCTCCTTTAGTACCCTAGTACACTGCTATACTATATTTATCGTTATTTGAATATACGTGCGCACAAATAGAGAAGTTCGGCTCGTGCTATACCACGAAAGAGCAAGCAAGCGGTGAACGGACATACATTAGCGACTGTAACACCCCTCACGCGCATGTCAGATGCAGCGTGCCCGGTCCCTCGTCATGCGACTCCAACACCAAACTCCGTTCCCCAAGCATCTCCACCACATCGCCTTTGACGTCCCTACTGTTGTCCCCGAGTCCTCTCTCCTCATCATCTCCATCATTTCCTCCCGCGCCACCAGCGCGTCCGGCCTTCAGCTGCGCGCACCGCGCGGGCAGATCCGAGCCGTGCAGCGCCGCAGCGACGTTCACGAGCGTGAACTGCGCGTCGCGGCCCCTGCGGAAGTGCGCGACGACGACGATGGCGGAGAGGAAGACGAACATGAGCGTGCTGACGACGACGTGCGGGAGCGAGGACGCGAAGACGAGGCGCGGGGAGGAGATGCGCCCGGGCACGTAGGCGGTGCCGAGTTTTCCGGATGTATATGCTGGTTGATTGCACAATCAATCAAATCGAAGGTGAAGGCGCAGTTTTCAGACGAGGGTACAGCAAGCAAGGGAGAGAAGAGAGGAAAGGATCAAGTGCAGAATACGTACTTTTTGCAGCGCCAACCACCATCTTCCCGTACGTCGTGCTCAGCTCCGCCTCCCCCAACGGCTTAATGCTCCGCGGCTGCCCCGCGCCCGACCCGGTTCCCCCGTACCCACTCGGCAGCGCGTCTACCGCGTCCTTCCCAAACACAAAATGCGCCTGCGTGAGCGACCCGAGCCCGCCATACTGATACAGCAGCGTGCTCGTCGGCCCAGCCGCGCTCCCGATCTGGCTGAGCGCGAGCGAGAAGAGCGACGCGCTCTGCGCCGGGTGCAGGTTGCCCTGCCGCGGCATCTGCCCTCCTCCCCCCTTTCCTGTGGCGGCGCCAGAGGACGGGGGACTCGGAGGCTGCACGGCGATACCGCCGAGCCCGTCGCTGCGCACCTCGCGCGTCTCGACGGCTGCGTTCGGGCGGCACGCGAGGAACGCGAGTGTCCATGTCTGGTCGCGGCCTTTGACTGAGTAGTGCGGTATCTCCCCGCCGCCGCTGGAGTTGGAGTTGGAAAAATCGATATCCAGCAAGCCAGAGGCGCTGCTGTTGAGGGCCTCGCAGCCGGCGGTGCACTGTCCCACCATCCAGACGGACGAGCCGTCGGTGGGCGGGGCGCCGGTGCTGTGGTTGACCAAGGCGGTGTACGGGTCGAGGTCGTAGATGAGCGCATTCGTCGAGTCGGTTTGGGTTAAAGCTGTAAAGTCGGGTTGAGTTCGTGCCGTTTAAATATGTACCTCCATATATCAGCGCCTGCTTTCACGCTGATTGTGTTCAAAGCACCGCAGGCACTGCAAGACACAGAGAACAGAGGAGGATGGGGGAAGACCGAAACCGAGAGACAAGAAAACTCACGCGCAACCCCACCCGGAACACCCACATCCAACCCCATCCCCATCAGCTGCACACCCACCAACGGCCCCGTCCCCAAATCAAAATCACTAAAACTCCCATTAACCGTCGTCGTCCCGCCCTCACTACCAGTCAAATTCGTGCTCGCCCACGCACAGGCCGGGCGCACGCCCACGACGTCCGTGAGCCAGCGCGCCGTCGCGGACTTGGGGAGCGCGGGCGGGGTGGGCACGATGTATGCTGTGTAGTCGTCTGATTGCGAATCGGAAGAGGAGGAGGAGGAGGAGGGGTAGGCGGAGAAGGCGTAGGTGACGCCGAGCTCCATTTCGGCCCAGACGATTGCGGACGCTGTTTCTTCGTTGTCGGTTACGGCGGATGAGGCGTAGAGGCCCGTGCTGGAGAGGCTGTGGGTGGAGAGGTGAGGTGAGTAGGGGTGGTGGTTGGGAGGGGTAGCCGGGGAAGTTATGAGGGAAAGAGGGAGGGAAGGCTGGGGGAGTAGACAAGACTTACTTCCAGACAGAGTTGATCCCAATCGACCCGACTGCGAACGCTTGGATATCGCCGTCCGAGAGGACAGACTGGATCGTCACTGAGCAATCGTCAAGCGCCGAGAAAACAAACGAAAGGACGGCAGAGGGAAAACCCACACGCAGCAGGTGCCATCGTCGATGTGACAATCGAAAAAACGCTCGCGACCGCGGCGAAGAAGAAGTATCTTGAGCACTGGCGCCGGGCCATCGCGAGCGTGGACTGGACGGCGCCAAAGGAGGGGAGCGAGATGCCGTTGACGGACGCGAGGGACGCGCCGTGCGGGTGGGTCGAGAGGAAGCGGAAGAATTCTTCGCTCTGGGCATGCGTGGGTTATCGTCGCGTCAGCGTTTACCAAGCAAAGGAGGTGGTGGTAGGAGGATGGGAAGGAGGGCTGACCTTGAGATCCTGCAAAAGATCTGTCAGCGGCCAGAGCGCGACGCTGATAACGATGATGCTGATAGACGTTATGCCAGCCTTGATGGCAGCTTCACATCCATCACATCCCAATCAGCAAGTCCGTCTCGACTGCTGAAGAGGAAACATAGGCTCACCCAAGTGCTCTGGCACGATCGAATACCACCCATACGTGCTCACAGGCACGACTTTTTGATGCACCGTGTAGCAAAACGACAAGTACGCGATCGCGATGAGCGGGAGCACGAGCGCCTTGATGAGGTCGTACGCGGGCGTCCAGGCCGGCACCGAGCCTATGCCAGTGCGCATCCGCCGGGCGGTGCTCAGCGGGGGAGGCGGCGGGTCGTTGTGGAACATGGAGCGGCGGAGCGGGGAGAGGAACGCGGTAGTTGAGCTAGAGCGGGCGCCTGCCGAGTGTGGGTCGGAGACGTAGGGAAGGGATGGCTGGAATGTTGTCGTCTCGGGGTCGCTAGGTGAGAGCTGGGGCGGGAAGGACTGCAACTCGTGTTCTTGTTTGTCAAGAAGGGCATAGGAGGCCATGGTGGACCTGGATTTGATTTTCAAGAGAGCGATGTACCGTAACTCGGTGCCAAGGAGAAAGTAGGTCTGATAGACGCGCGGGGCCGCAAGATCACCTAGTCAAAGAGAGGATGAGAGAGAGAGAGCATGTGTGGATGGAAGGATGCACTGTACGAGATTGTACAGATTTGGCGCCGTTTTCAGACTTTGACGTGACTGGGAATCATTCCGTCGATGGCAGCCGTACATGCGTAACGGAATCATTTTCATTTTAACCTTTTCGAGAGCCTTTTGTTCCTGGCTTTGCAGATTTGGATGAAAGATCGTGTGGTTGAATGAAAGCTGGTCCACATGTTCCTGTTCTTGGTCGACCTGACGTGTTATCGCGGGCGGGAATGGCGCCTAACTTTCTTTTTGTGCTTGGCGGGCGTCTAAACGCCCACGTGATAGGGTATCCACCCCGAAGTTATCGGAGGTTTCCGAGACCTGTCATTTTCTTGCCCTTGGATTGGCTCGGGATGGAAAACATCCTCCAAGATTCGACATTCGTTCTTGGCCAAGTCTTGGCCATCATGCTTACATCAAACAGACAAAGTTCTGTCACTTTCTTTGTCTCCTCGTTGCCTCCGAGTGAACACGGATGAACATGAACGAGTCATCCGACCACAGGCTCCTCCTGCCCGTGTTTCAACAAGCTCAGCCGTACTTGCATACGAGGGCGCTTTGCTTCTCCCCGTAGGACTCATTCAAAATGGCTCTCTGCCGCTACGCATGGCTTTTCTTCGCAGTCCGATCGGCACTGGCGGATGGCCCAAGTACGTCTCTTACACCGTCTCTGTTACTACACGTCAAACGATCTATTCAAACTGTCGAACAGCATGGATAAGCCTTCCCATGACCGTGCCACAGGGCCTGGAGATCGACATCTTCAATGGTGCCACCTTCCCCGTCTATCTAGGCACGCCACTGCAAGAGGTCAACCTCACCCTCAGCATGGCCGGCGACCTCTTCGCTGTGAACGCGTACGACTGCGTGCTATGCTCTGGTGAAGAGTACTTTGATCCATCGGCGTCCACCACCTACAAGGTATGCAGAAATGGACTTCACTGTGGGGTGGACAAGCGAAGGCTAATATACGTGGTCCTGCTAGCAACTAGACGAGGAATGGCCAAACGGCATCCCGAGCTTCGACGGGCCTTACGGCAGTGACGAGATCAGCTTCGGCGGCATACTGAGCACAACGAACACCGAGTTCGGTGCGCCATCCCTCACCCTCTCCCCGCTCACCATCACCTCACACCACGCACAGTCACACTCACAACAGGCTTCGACCCCTCCATCGCCCCGCGCATCCGAAACGGGCACTTCGGCGTCCTCCTCAGCGCAACCAACACCACCTCCCAATCGCGCCACATCTTCTCCCAGCTCCTTGCATCGGACCAGCTGCTCAACCCCGTCATCGGGATGCGGTTCGACCCCGCAGACCCGAAGATCACGATCGGCGCGCTCGATCCGAACGACTACGAGGGCGAGATCAACTGGGTGCCGATGGAGACGCCCGACGCGACGTGGGACTATGCGGGCGTTATTAGGATCGACGGGATGAAGGGGCGGAATGGGAGCTATGTGCCGATGGGGAACGGGAGTACGGGTGTAGCCGCGAATGGGGGCGAGGGTGTGCTGGCCGGGATTGACACGCGTGCGTTCCGAGTCCTTTAGTTCTCTTTCCTCTACGTGGTCGTAGCTAACCTTCGCTCGCCTCTAACCCGGCCTCCGTTCCCCCCACGCCAGTATACCGCTCCGTCGCCATCCCCAACACCTACCCCTACCTCACCGACTCCAACCTCTCCGGCCCGCAAGACACAATCTCAATCGACCCCGACTACGGCCTCTTCTCGTACCTCTGCAACGTCACCACGCCCTATGTCTCCCTCGACGCAACGATCAACGGCGTCGACTACATGCTCGACTCTGCGCACAACCTGCTGCGGAAGGACGGTGGGTCGCCGGAGGGGTATTGCGACGTCGCCATCGCGAACAGAAGCGACGCGGCGCAGCCGAGCGTCGTGCTGGGGCTGCCTTTTTTGAGGAGCGTGTACACGTGCGTCTTCCCTCCTTCCTTTCACCCATCCCGTCAAGTTCTCACTTACACTCTCTTACGGGCAACACACAGCGCCTACCGCTTCCCCACCCCCGCCTGCCCCACCCCCTACATCGGCTTCGCATTCCCCAAAAACGCCAACCGCACCGCGGACCAGATCGCACAGACACCGAGCTCCACGCCCGCCGACGCCGCACAGTGCCTCGCGCTCGCCGCGCCCACGTCGACACCGGCGCCCGCGAGCATCGTCACGCAGGCGCAGAAGGCGCTCTCGGGGGACGCGTACGGTGTGTACGGCGACGAGACGGCGCCGCCGCAGCGGTTGATTGGGGTGGATGCGTTTCCGGCGATTGTGTGGAATTTTACGGAGCTGGGGGGATGAACGGATGGAGGGGTATGTTAGGTGGATGGGATTCAGAGGGTTGGACGTGGTGGGTTTGTGTTCGGTTTTGTTCATGTGATGTCGATTCGAGACGGGTAGTTTTGCGAGTCACGAGTAGGCTTTGAATGGTTCACTGTCTTTTCCTTTACTGCGCTTTGCAATAAAACGCGGAATCGCGCGCGTTGTCCAGGTCGGACCCCAGAAGCGACGTGTCATTCTCACGCTCGTGGAGATGCTCGCTCGCACTACTCACACGCGACGCGTGTCGCGTGTTGGGGAACTCAAGAAAGTCAACAGCGCTAC